ACTCAGGTCCTTGCGCTTGCCAGGGAAGCGCTTATTCTACTGAGCCATCTCCCCGGCCCCGATATACCTTGATTCTTCTTTTTTCCTCATTCCCCTCCCCTCCCTTCAACCTTTTTTCTACTCCCCATTTACAATTTTTTTTCCAAAAAAAATCATTTATTCTGGGCCAAAGAGAAGTGACCACAGCCCAAGAACAAGGACTCAAGTGACCCTGATTGTTTTTGTTTTTTTTTTTGTTTTGTGGTACTGGGGATTGAACTCAGGACCCTGTGTTTGCCAGGCATGTGCTTATTCTACTGAACTACCTCCCAGCCCTGGTGTGTTTTGAAGTAGCAGAGGTTATACAACATTTTATAGACTAAGAACAAAGAAAGTCCTAAATCAGTGTGTGGGCACAGGGTAGACACAGCCAGGAAAGTGGGGTGATCTTCCCAAGGGCTCAAGATGTCCTAGGAGCCTGGCAGGCAGTGGCTGCAGTGCAAACATTAACCAATCTCCACAGTGACAAGAAGATATCACATCAGATTCAAAGCTTAGTCAGATGGGTCTGCTTCTCTAAAGCGTCTGAGACAGCCTGAGATTATGACACCAGCATTCCCTCTGTGCACAAGAGGAACCAGGGCTGCTGTCTTACACCAAGGTCTGAGTGATATAGGAGAAAATATGTAACTCTCAATCTGTTAGGTGTTAGGTACACTGATTTCATGATTCCCAAAATAATATGTTAAGGAACAATGGACTTTAAGAGTAGGAAAATTTATTGGGCAATGAGGAGCAAGGACTAGGAATAGCTCCTGAGACAGGAGGGGTCCCCAGTAGGTTGCCCTACAAAACCTTTATTTTCATTTTTTCCTTTTATTTATCCCTTCCTTCCCTTTCTACCTTCCCTTGTTCCCTTTCCCGTTTGAACTTGTTCTCTTCATATTTCCCATTATCTGTTTATAATACAACATTTTCTTTATCCACTCATCTGTTAATGGCATATGGACTAGCCCCAGGATTTAAGGACTGGGATTAGAGGTGTCCACCACCACACCCACTCTCAATTGCCTTGGGGGCGGGGGTGGGGTGGGGTGGGGTGGTGGTGATTGAACCCAGTCCCTGCATCTGCCTAAGCAGGTGTTTAATCCGCTGAGCTATTGGCCAGTTCTACTTTTAACTTTTTTTTTTCCCATTACATAAATTAACCCATTTCTTATAGGCTAGGGATGTCCCAAATAGTAAGGGCTTCTACTGGTCTTTCAATTCCTTTAGTCTTCTCATGGCTGATTGTTTTTTTTTTTTTTTTTTTTGGTGGAACCAGGGATTGAACTCAGGCCCTTGCACTTGCCAGGGAAGCGCTTATTTCACTGAGCCATCTCCCCGGCCCCTCATGGCTGACTTGACTGTGATCATAGAAGTGGTATTGTAGGTCCAGATGCCACCAGCCAGTTTTCATGCAGGAACCACAGTGCCAGATCCCCACAGCCCACGTCTTCATCTTGGTCTTGTTATGGGTCACTCAGAATAGGAACCAGATCAGCCAGATTGGAATTTGGAAAGCCATTTATTACTGAGCTCAGGGCCCCCAGTCTGCTCTCACACAGGAGAGGACCGAAAGGCAGCTAGCCCAGGAAGCAGGGGGCTTTTAAAACACGAAACCACATTTGTTTGGTAAACAAATTCATTCACACAAAACAATGCTTTCAGGGTCATTGTGACCACTATCCAAACTAAACTTCCTGGGGCTTTGTTTTAGTTTCTGGTTATCTTGCACCTGAGTAAGTACCTGCAGGCAATCTTGCATAGCCCAAGGTTACAAGAAGTTAAATCCCATTTAGTTTCCTTATGAAGCCATCTCTGCAATCTAACTTGGTTTACAGGGATTGGTTAGGTAGGAATTTTATGTAGCAAACAGCAATTAACAGCCACTATTTACTAAACAACTTAGAACAGTGGTGAGTATACATTTACAACAGAAAGCATAAGATTTACATTTATAATCTAAAACATGAGTTGACTCATTACAGGTCTTGCCACAGAAGGTGTAGGTATACTTGGCGTGCTGGCTGATTTCAATCTTCTTCACCATTTTCTGGGGTGAGGCACCATAGTAAGTCCCGTATTTACTGACAATGCTGAGGCATGCTTAGCTATGTTGACGTGAGGAGGCCCAAACCCAGAGAGCCTACTTTTAACTCTTTTAGGAAGATTCTAGACTGTTTCTTTCAAGAGAAGACAAAGAAGCTGTTTATGTTTGGATCACAGCTACCAGCTTCAGCTGCCCCAAGGCACCATCTAGTTGCCTTGCTTTTCGGGGTGTGGTGAGCACTGAGGCCCAGGAGGAGTGACCTGCCTCCCAGACAGCCTCATGCCTGGGTGCGCTGAGGGTACTCCTTCAAATAGGCAGACAGTGTCCAGCCACCAGAGCCGGGGGTCAGAGCTCTCCCTCCTTCTCCTAGTGAGCACAGATGATACTGAGAAGAACACAGCCTTGGAGGTCACATGGACCTGGATTTAAACTCTAGCTTTGGGCCAGCCAAATAACTCAGAAGATTAAAGTACCTTAAAGCAGGCGCAGGGGCTGGGAGTTCGATCCCTGGGCCTGCCCAGTCGGCCCTGCCCCTGGGACACACTGAGACGGCAATTGAGACTGGGTGTGGTGGCATGTACCAGGAATCCCAGCTCTTGGGAGGCTGTAAACAGATGGATCTCTGCAAGTCTGATCTAGTAATGGACCCTGAACACCCTGTAGACCCCTCCCTAAAATACAAAATAAACAAACTCCAGCTTTGGATGAGTTCGTCTCACTTGTTTCCCACGCTGAAAAATATGGGTTCCACCACTTACTTTATTTATTTATTTATTTATTTATTTATTTTTTAATATTTATTTATTTGTGCGTGTGTGTGTGTGTGTGGCCATCTCAGCCCACCAGGGGGCGTTCTGGCTGGCATGTGGTGCTGGGGGATTGAACCGCAGTGCCTGTGCTTTTTGCTAAGCTTGTTCTAAGTAGGTGCTTTAGACCACTGAGCCATCTCTCCAGCCCCACCACCACTTACTTTATACAGCTGGTGGGAAGAGTAAATGGCAGCTTCTTCCCTAAAGCTCCAGTTCCATGTTTGCTACTCACTCAATGTCTTATACAGCAATCTGACAAGGACATTGCATATTCCTGCTGCTTTGCCGTCCTACTTGGAAACTTAAATTCGGAGATTTAAACTTTGAAACACCCTTAAAAGCTGGCTGTGCAGACACTGAGTCTCTTAGAAGGGGATACAACACAATCCCAGTCCAACATTGACTGACACTAATTTTTTTTTTTTTTTTTTTGTACCATGAATCAAACTCACAACCGCATGCCTGGTGCTGTACTGCTGAACTAAATCCATGGCCCTCTGACAGTACAATACTGAGTAATTTCACCTATCTCTGCCTTAATTCCCTCATCTGAAAAGTGAATAATTTGGTTTCCTTTTTTTTTTTGGTCTTTTTGAGACAGGTGTCACTATGCACTTCAGGCGGGCCATGATGCCTCTGAGCTTACTTTGTATCCCAGGCTGGTCTAGAACTCCCAATGATTCCCCTGCCTCAGTCAACTGAGTGCTGGGATTACAGGGGCCCACCACCACACCCGGTACTTCTTAGAATTTGTTGCGGGGGGGGGGGGGGGGTCACACAGGTTGATGCATGCAACACATTTGTCACTGGTGCTACTTTATCACTTCCACACCAAATGCTGCCTCACTTGAGGAAGCACAAAAGTTACATCTAAAACTCAATTTCCAGGCTGGTGAGATGGCTCAGTGGTCTAAAGCACCTACTTAGAACAAACTAAGCTAAGCAAAGCACAGGCACCGTGGTTCAATCCCCCAATACCAGCCAGCCCTGCCTCCTGGTGGGCTGAGCTGGCCACACACACACAAAATAAATAAATAAATGTTTAAAAAAAAACCAAAACCAATCTCCTAGCCATAGCATTTTTTCCCCCATAGCATTTCTATTCTACCTTTTTTGTGGTAAGGAGGATTTACCCAGTGCCCTAACACTAAACTATACTCCCAGCCCTTTTTTGTGAGACAAGGTCTTGCAATGTTGTTAGCAGGTTGGGCTTAAACTTGTGTCTTCCTGTGTCAGCCTCCTAGAGTGCTAGGATTATATGTGTGCACCACCACACTTGGTTTATAGAAGTCCAGGATATGCTAGGCATGGTGGTGCAGCCTGTAATCCCAGCACTCAGGAGGCTGAGGTAGGAGGGCACTGAGTTCCAGGCAAGCCTGAACTACATAGTGAGATCAAGGCCAGCTTGGAATACATATTGAGGCCATGTCTCATAAAATAAATAAATTAAAAACAAACAAACAAAAAAAGTAAGTGGGGGCCGGGAGACAGCTCAGTGGTATAAGTGCCTGCCTGGCAAGTGCAGGGTCCCAAGTTCAATTCCCAGTACTGCAGAAACAGACAAAAAAAAAAAAAAAAAAAAAGAATTCAACTCCAAAAAAAAAAAAAAAAAAAAAAAAAAGCATAAAACCCAGAAGTCTGGGGTAAAATTTGATATTCACCATACTCTCCCTTCTCATTCTCTTCTACTCCTCTTTGTGTATGTGTGTGTACACTGAATCCAGGGCCTCCCAATGTGCCAAACACAGGGATCTACCACTTCTAAGACATGTTTCCAGGAACCTCCTGGGCTGCTTCTAACCACTAGATGGCCAAGATGTAAGGTGATTTATTTCCTTAGGCAAGCACTCAGCCTTCTCCCACAGCATTTAAGGGACTGGAATAACAACAGGAAGTCCTGATGAGGAAAGCTTTGCCAAAACACTCATTCCAAGAAAGGGATTGGTAAAGGGACAAATTTGCTCAGCCCTGAGCAACATCCTGCAGTCTCCACATGTGGTCCTTGTGGCCGACCTCACCCACAGAGGGGTCAACTGCTGGTTCCACTACCCTTCTTTGGGTTCCTGAGCCGGGAAGAGTTATAGTCGTACCCTCTGTAACAAAACCAGACAAACAAAAAATTGGCATTTACAAAGCAGATGGGCCATTTATTAGTATCTGAAAAGGTTTCCTTTAAGTGCGATTTTCTTTAAATCGCGGAACCCTCAACACCAAAGTCACAACCACTGGAATGAAAACTTGGGCTCAAACTTTCCATCGATCACAGGTTACTCACGATCAGGAGCCAAGTATTTGAGTTAAATGAATTGAAGAACTCAGTCCTGCTACAAGACGGTAACGGAAATAAGAGTAACATTCTTGCTTTTACACCAGAACGTCTTGTTACCAAAGGCTGACAATCCCCAGAGTAGCATAAAACGGCTTCCACTGTCTAAATGCACCATCATTTAGTTACTAGTACTCAGTTCTCGGAGAACAGGAGCGACTCTCCCCACCTTGGCTCTGCGACCTGGAGTTGAGGAGCCAAGTTCTCGAGAATCCTCAACTGGATGACACACCTGTCCACAACACCCTCAGAGCGCCAGCGTCTGGCCTGTTTCCCATCCTGATGAGACACCTGGGGTGATAGCGAGACCTTACTAGGCATCCAGATCAAAGTCATCGCGCTCCTCATTATACTCCAGCACGTGTCGCTTGATTTTAGAAGAGTCGACCCAGGTGACAAAGTCCTCCATGCTGCGTGTAACAAGGAAGGCGGGGTCTGTCACCACGTCCGGGCCCACGCGCACGTGGCCTTGCTCCACAAAGGCCACAGCAGCCTGGAGATGCTGCGCCATGCGCAGCTTGAGGAGAACGGTGGGCAGGCGGCGGCGGCAAAAGGACGAGGCTGTGACGAAATCGCAGAGCTCCAGAGAGCCGCGCGTGGGCACCAGGCCCAGCGCATAGAGCTTGTTCAGCAGCGCGGCGGAGGCGCGCACGCGGAATGGGTCGCGCTCGGGCAGGTCGCGCAGTCGCCGCGCCAGCTCGCGCACCGCCCGGCTCAGCTGGTTGTATTTCGTGTAGTCCTCGCGCCGCTGCAGCCGGTAGCGCCGCAGCACACGCAGTTCGTGGAGGTTGTGGTCGGTAACTTCCCAGTTTAGGAAATCCACCTGCTTCAGTAGCTTCTGCTCGTGGAACTTCAGCTTCCGCACCATGATGGCAGCCGTTCAGGAAGCAAGACTCAAAGCTACCGGAGAATCTAGGGGATCACGCGTATGTCTTCCGCTAGGGTGGACTGGGCGTGCCTGGAGGTTCTGGACCAATGAAAAAGGGGCACTTAACCACGCCCCTCTCTTCCATTGGCTAAAGTGAGACCAAGCTCTCGCGTCTTTGCCTCGCGTTTCTTTTCTATTTCCTGTTCGGGTGGCGTGAGGAGGAAGAGGTGAAACCCGAGGCGCACTCTGGAGCTGGCTGGTGCGTTTCCTAGCAACCGAGAAAGCGTCAAGCAGTCCAGTGGTAACTTTGCTTTAGAGTTCTGCCTTTTGGGGACTCTCAGGACAGTCGACCCCGAGGAGCTTTAGAGGCCAGTCCCAGGGAGGAAGGGTGACTGTCGGGCACCCCCCCCCCATTGGGATTACCATGCTAATGGACCATTGGAGCAACTTCTTCTTGACTCGGAGCTGATCGAGTGGTCCTGTCTCCCGCCATTGTCAGGTCTTTAATCCGGGCGGGGTTGATTTCTTTCGCCATGGAGATTGGACGGCCTCAAACCTGGAATCCGATGATTACAGGGCCGCTGCGTACATTCACAAAATCGGATGTATTACGGATCCCTCTGGAATTTTTTTTTTTTTTTTCTTTTTGGTGGTACTGGGGTTGAACCCACAGTCTCGAACATGTTTAAGCAAGTGCTCTCCCACTGAACTACATCTCCAGCCCTGGAGATAGGTATTTTTAACAAAAGCGTCACACCACTCATGAAATCTAGTGAATTTGAAAAACTTGGGTTGTGTGTACATGCCCTAACGCTTTAGTCTGGGCTTAAAGGAATTAGCCCGACCGGTGGATTTTTGGACAGTGAGCACCGAGTTAACACTGCCTGGACTAGTCAGATCTGTAAAAATCACATCTGAGTGTGGCGCTGCTGGATGGATTCCTTTTTTTTTTAATAAGGACTTTGCTGCCACCTAGCTTCTTTGTGGATCATTTTTGTTTTGTTATGTTTTTCATTGTCTTTTTAAATACAGTATTTATAGCTGCAAAATTATGTGTGTAACATGTAAGTTACTATGTATAATGCATACTTATGAACCCAGAAGTTTAAGTACACATCACTAGGATCATTTCACCTTACCTGTTCTACCCACTTTCTTCCCCCCCCACCCCCCACAGAAAAATATATCCTTTCCTAAATATTGTTTATTGTTTCCTTTTGTTTAAAGAGAATTTTATCATTATACATACATCCCTAGATACACTATAAAGCATAATCTTAGGCCCTCTTCCTGATCTATAGTATCAAAATTAGCATTTTTTTTTTTTTGGCAGAACCAGGGATTGAACTCAGGCCTTGTGCTTGCCAGGCAAGCACTTATTCTACTGAGCCATAATCAGCATTTTTAACAAGATAATTTATGTGCACACTGACCCTTGGGAAATGTTCCATATCCCAAAACAACACACTGAGGTGAATGTGATAGTGAAGGTCTAATTTCAGCACCCTGGGAGGCTGAGGCAGGAGGATCACAAGTTCAAGCTCAGTCTGGACACTTAGCAATTTAATGAGGCCTGTAATCCTATAATGCTTGTAATCCCAGCACTCGGGAGACTGGGGCAAGAGGATCATTGCAAGTTCAAGACCAGTTTAAGGGGCCAGGGAGATGGCTCAGTGGAATAAGCACTTCCCTGGCAAGACCTTGTTTAAAAAAAAAAAAAAAAGTGGGGGGTGTAGGGGAGGATTTAGCTCAGCAGTAGAACTCTTGCCTAGCAAGCTGGAAGCCCTGGGTTCAGTCCTCAGCACCAAAACCAAAAAATAAACCTCAACTAAAAAACAATTACAATCCAGGTATGGTGCAATCCCAGCACTCAGGAGGCTGAGGCAGGAGGATCACTGTGAGTTTGAGACCAGCCTAGACTAAAAAATAAGCTCAAGGCCAGCCTAAATTTCATAGTGAGACCTTGTCTTAAAAAGACAGAACAAACAAACCACCCTCAAAACAAAATAAAACAGGGGCCGGGGAGATGGCTCAGTGGAATAAGTGCTTCCCTGGCAAGCTCAAGCACCTGAGTTCAATCCCCAGTTCCACAAAAAAACAAAACACTGTATAATATAGTTTGTATCTGTGATTACTTTCAGTCCTGCTATGTAATAGCCCATTTTTTTTACTTTATTAACCAATTTTCCTGGGGTTTTTTTTGTTGGATTTTTTTGAGGGACTTTGTTTTGTTTTGTTTTGTTTTTGTTCTTCAGTTTTGGCTGACCTTGAACTCACTATGTAGCACAGGTTGGCTTCCCACTTATGGATATCCTCCTGCCTCGGCCTCCCAAGTGCTGGGACTACAGCTGTGCACTACCACGCCTGGTTTACCATTAATATTCCTCATGTCTCCTGTTGTACAGATGTACTATTTGTAGTACATACTGGAATAGAATTATTGTTTGACCTTATTAGAGGTTGCCAATTTTTTTTTTTTTTTGTACCAGGGATCAAACTTGGGACCTTGTGCTTGTCAGGCACTTAAGCCACTGAGCTATCTCCCTGGCCCCTTGCCATGTTGTTTTCTAAAGGGTTTCTACAGTATAATTCTATCCTCTAGTTTTTCATAAGGGTTTTCTCTGCTCCTTATTCTCACTGCTGCTTGGTTGTTTGTTTGTTGTCTGGAGAACTGAATATAGGATTCTTGCACTGAGTAATATTCCTAGATATTACTATTTTTAATTTTTGAGACAAGGACTCACTAAGTTGCCTAGTCTGGGCTTTTTTTATTTTTGAGAAAGGGTCTCACTATATAGTTTTGGCTGGCCTTAAGCTCATTTTGTAACCCAGGATGGTACTGAACTCCTGCAAGGCAACACTCTCCTGCCTCAGCCTCCTGAGTGCTGAGATGACAGGCATGTGCCAGCATATCCGGCTAAGCTTGATCTTAAAATCCTTTTGCTTTAAGTAGCTTTTATATAGCTGAGGTTAAAGATGTGCACCATTGTGTCTGAATCACTTTTTAAAATGTTTGCCAATCTAGTGTGTACTTTTTTTTTTTTTAACAAGATCTTGCTATGTATTTGACTTGACTCACTATGAGTTCACTATGTAGCCCATGATGGCCTCCAACTCATGGCAATCCTCCTGTGTCAGCTTCCCAAGTACTGAGATTACAGACGTTTGCCACCACACCTGGCAGCATTGCTGACTTTGAAGATGAAAGGGAGCCAGGAGCCAAGAGATGTGGGCACCCTCATGACTAGCTAGAGGATGTAATTACACTGATACAAACCTTTAGAAAACAACTTGGCAAAAAAGAAAAAAGAAAAGGAAAGGAAAAGAAAAAAGAGGGCTGGTGAGATGGCTCAGTGGTCTAAAGCACCTACTTAGAACAAGCTAAGCAAAGCACAGGGACCACGGTTCAATCCCCCAGCACCACATGCCAGCCAGCCCCGCCCCCTGGTGGGCTGAGCTGGCCACACACACACACACACACACACACACACACACACACAAATAAATAAAAATTAAAAGAAGAAAACAACTTGGCAACCTCTAATAAGATCAAACAGCAATTCTACTCCAGTGTGTACTAGAAATTACTATATATACATGCAACAGGAGACATGTAGAATATTAATGGTAAAGGCAACAAGAAGCATCTTTAGGGAAGGCACATAGCCCTCCCAATACTTTGATTCCAGTCCAGTGAGCTACATTTTGGATTTCCAATTTCTAGGACTGTAAGATGGCTGTTTTGTTGTTGTTGTTGTTGTTTTTTGTTTTTGTTTTTGTTTTTGAGTGTTTTAAGACAAGATCTTTCTGTGTAGTTCAGGCTGCCCTTGAACTGACTATCCAGCCCAGGCTGGTCTCAAACTTGTGCGAATCTTCCTTCCTGAACCCCCAGAGGGCTGGGATTACAGGTTTGTGCCACCATGTCCAATTTAAGATGAGAAATTTGTATTGTGTGAAGTCTCTAATTGTGGTTATTTGTTGCAGCTGCAATAGAAAACAAGTACAGATTGTCAGCTTTTTTCCTAATTGATTTGGAAGTGTTATTTTTACAGCCTAAATATATTCTCCTTAACTATGTATGTTGCACATTTCTTTTCCCAGTTTGTACTTTATCCTACCCGTATATTGCTCAGCCTCTGTTCCATCTTCAGCCTTCTTTCAGTGTATCTGCAATAGGACTTTTGGTTAATTTCCTCCTTTTCCCAGACAATAAATGTAATAGTCATTTTTCCATATCTATGGGGGTTTGCTCTAAGACTGCAGGGATATCAAGAACCATGGAAGATTCATTCTCTTTCCCTTGTATAAAATGGCATAAGGGCTGGGGAGATAGCTGGGGCCAGGGAGATAGCTCAGTAGAATAAGCGCTTACCTGGCAAGGGCCTGAGTTCAATCCCTGGTTCCATCAAAAAAAAAAAATTAAATAAATAAAAATAAAAAAATAAATAAATAAAATAAAACAAAATGGTGTAGTATTGGCATAGGACTTAAATATATCTTCCCATACACTTTTTGTTTCTAGTACTGGGATTGGATCCTAGGGCATTCACACTGAGCTAAATCCCCAGCTCTTTATTTTTTATTTTGAGTCAGGGACTCACTTAATTGCCCAGACTGGGATCAAATTTGCAATCATCCTGCCTTAGCTTCCCAGAGTGTCTCATACACTTTAAATCATTTCTAGATTATTTAGTTCCACTACAAAGGAAATGGCACATGTTACACTTTTTATCTTTTTTAAATGTATTTGGCATAGGGCCTCACTATACAGCTTGCACTGGTAGTGATTCTCCTGTTTTTAGCCTTCCCAGTGCTGGGATTATAGGTGTATGCCACCGCACCCACCCTATCTCGGTCTCACTGGCAGCTCAGCTCATCCAGAGGTGGGGCCAGCATAGCTTGTGGTGCCCAGATGGAACTGGTCCCTGTGCTTGTCTAAGCAGGAGCTTAGGGTGCTGAGCTATCTTGCTGGCCCTTATACTGTGTGAGAGGTGACGGGAAAAAAGTCTGTGCATGTTCAGTACAGATGTAACTATCTCCCCCTTGAGCTGAGGGCTCACTAGGTATCCCAGGCTAGCTTTTAACTCTTAGCAATCCTCCTGCCTCAGGCTCCCAAGTGCTGAGATCACAAGCATTTGCCACCATGCCTAGCTAAAGAAGTATTTTTATACATGTGGTTGACACTTGTCTCAAGACCCACCACACCTTGCTGGATGCATGTCTGTAATCCCAGCTACTTGGGAGGCTGAGGCAAGAGAACTTCCAGTTCCAGCCCAGCCCTGCCAATTTAGTAAGAACCTGGCAGCAAGAACCTAAAACAAAACAAAACAAGCCTCAAAATGCTCTTATTGAGAACTATTCTGGTCTAGCCTACCCCAAACCCTCCCAGTTTAGCTTCTCCCTAGCCCATTACCCTTGTATTGCTGGTTTGATTCCCTGATAGATCTACTTAGAACTGGACAGAGTGCTTTGTGCTGTTGAATCTTGGGGCACAAACAGGAAGTTGGGGATGTGCTGTTTCCTGAGCACAGATCAGAGTCCTAGCAGGAAAGAGAACAAGCTCCAACTAGAAGAAAATGGAATCAGAGAATGCCTGCCAAAGGAACAGGCAGGGTGCAGGAGAACCACACGATTAGCGCAGCTTCCAAGATTCATACTGTGGGCTCTCACCCGTAGATGTGAAGCAGGGAAGGAATTTCTGTTCGATAAAGAGGGCCTAGAAATAAGGGTGACTGGTAAGGGCGAGGAAGCAAAGGTGCCTGGTACAGATATGGGGCTAATGCTTCGATGGGCAGCATATAACTAGCCAAAATGTTCCCGACAAAACTAAAGACAGCAGGATAATGGCTGGAGACCCTGGGGTTGGGCTGGAGTCAGCCCTTTGCTGGGTTTGCAGAAATTCCATTGCCTGCATGCAGTGAGCCCGCGCAGAGAATTTACACCCTTGCTGGCACTCAGACTACTAAGGAAGTAGCTGCTATTGTTAACCCAGTTTGCAGGACTGATGACAGGAAGGCACAAGGAAGCCCACCCTGCCTTGACCTCTGGCACAGAAATCCAACTCTCCTTTTCAGTTATGAAAACTGGCACCTGAGCTTCCAGAGTTTGTACATAAGCCTGCTCCTCAGCCCTGCATTACTCCCATGAAACCAGGTTTTGGAGCCTGGCAACCCTGTCCCTCAAAATAGCTAAAGGTGGGTATAGGTGGTCCTCTGCCTTTAACAGTACTACCTGAGCCAGCTAGAGACAAGCAGGAAGAACAAGAAGGAGAAGGTCTAGCTAGGGGGGTTGGTAAGGCTTCAGGGCACATCCAGGAGTCTTACTTTAGGCAGCTTCTCCTCCAGGAAGCCATCCTTGATCCCTGTCCCACCCAGGTTGGCATAGGTGCCATCTCGTGCACTTTGTATGGCTCTGGCCACCCGAGGCACATCTGAAGGTTCTGGAAGGTAAGGGTGACATCTTACTCCTTTTTCTTTTTTTTTGTACTGGGGATTAGACCCAGGGGTTCCCCATAGGTAAGCAAGTATTTTCCTGTCTGTCTACACCTACAGCCCATCCTTTTTTTTTTTTTTTTGAGACAGGGTCTCACTATGCAATTCATGCTGGCCTCAAACTCAGAGATCCTCATACATCAGTCTTCCAGTGCTGGGATCATAGACTTGCGCCAGCATGCCTGACTTTTGTTTTACCATTTTTGTAGCCCAGGGCCTAGTAGCTACTCAATGTTTTTCAGAGGATGACTGCAGGAACCAGGACTGCCTGTCGTGCCTAGCACAGGGCTCTGCATAGTGTTGGGTAGGGTCAGTGCCAGGCCAAAACCCACTGCTGTCTTCCAAAACATTGTTTTTTCCGGAGCCTTGTCCTAGGCCTCCTCTCTCTCCTGCTGCTGCTGGCCAGGATGGACCCACCAGTCCCCTACGGCAAGCTCTCCTTCCTTAAGGGAGTTGCCCCGGGTTGGGGTGTTCCCCGTCCTATCTGGCTGGGGAACCCGGACCCACAAGGAGATTTAGTCAGAGTCTGTCGGGGTTGCCAAGGCCGCTGTGGCCCTCGGGGGCACAGTATAGGAGCTGGGGGTGGGAGTGTAAGAGGGAAGGAGGGCTAAGGGGAAAAGGATAAAGTGGGGACGGGTGCCCCGCCTCCTTGACTGCCTGTGCCTCCCTTCACCCCTGCGTACCAGCAGCGCACGTCTCCTAAACTCCCGGAGTTCTCCGCATTAGTGCGCTGGGGCGAGCAAGGGCGCCCGAGCCCTGTGACTCCAGCGACTGTGGGCTGGGCGAGCGGGCTCCGGCGGGAGCGCAGGAGCGCGGTGTCCGAGTCCCGCCCGGCCGGGGCGGAGCTGCGGGCTCCCGGCCTGAGACCGCGGAAGTGCGAGCTCTGCTCCCTCCGCCCCCTCTCCCCACCGCTCACCTCCTCCCGCGTCTCTCCGGGACGCCACCTCCCGGTGTCGCCTTTCTTTCTTTCTTTTTTTCCTTTTTTCTTGTTTGTTTTGGAGCTGGCTGTCGGCTGGAGGGGCTGCGCGGCGGGGAGGTGGGGCACACGGACGGACAGAGGGACTGACGGCCAAGCTCCTGCAGGCCGGGCGCGCCGGGGACCGGGTTAAGCGCCCCGGGACGGCGTCCGCCTGGCCACCCCTGGATGGGGTCCCGGGACGCCGTCGGGGTCAGCTGCGGGCTCAGGATGCCGAGGAGTTAGGCAAACAACAGAGGCCATCGAACGAGTGTCCTGGGGTCGCCCTCTGCACCCTGGGTGGACACGGGCCGGGCCTTGGGGACCCACAGAACCACCGCCGGCCGGGGTCGTGGACTTGGCGGCCTGTTGTGCAAACCTCGGCCCTTGTTTTCCCCGGCCCAGATCGTTGGGAGGCCGCACACATCCACCCTTGGAATTGATTCAGGAGAGTGCTGCTTTTCTCCTTGCTCCTCTTGGATTTTCTGGATTTTTGAAAACCCAGTGGCCCAAGAGGAGGAGGAGGAGGAGGAGAAGAAGGAAGAGGAGGAGGAAAGGCCATCTGAGGAATGCGAGAGCCTCCCCCAGCCGGAGCAGCCAGAGGCAGCAGGGAGCTAGAGGGAAGAAGGGCCCTGCCTGCGTTTCTGGGACGGTTTGTTCTGAGGGAGCCTCTTCAGCCTTAGAACATTGTTCCGGTGGAAAGTGTTGAATTCTTGCTGTTGCAAAGCTGGTTTCTCTGGGTGGCTTGACTTTTGCACTGGGAGGAGGGGAGGGAGGGCTACCCCTCCCCAGGGGCTGCCAAGGAGGAGAGAAGGACTATGGACTGAGCCCTGCCTGCCCTGCCCACAGGCAATGCCCAGACCCCCATGGGGCAGTTCCTGGGCCATAGACACTGCTCTGAAGAAGGGGAGGCTGGACACAATCTGTGGGTGCTGAGGCACGGCCTCCTGAGCCCAGAGACAGCACTGTATAACAGGCATTGAGCTGCCAGTGCGTTTTGTTCACCTTGGTCTGGAGCACCAGCCTCTCCTTCCCATCTTTATCCACCAGTAGCACCACCATGGCGCTGAAAGGCCGAGCTCTTTATGACTTTCACAGCGAGACCGAGGGAGAAATCAGCATCCAGCAGGATGAGGACCTAGTGGTCTTCAGTGAGACTTCTCTGGACGGCTGGCTGCAGGGGCAGAACAGCCGTGGGGAAATGGGGCTCTTCCCTGCCTCCTATGTGGAGATCATCCGTCCTGGTGTTGGTACCAACCATGCAGACTACCCAGGCTGCCCTGTGGGCCCTCTGGGCACCCAGGTGAGTGCCTACAACAGCTCTAGCCCGGCCAGGAACAGTGGTGGCAGTGGCTTCCTCTCAAACCCTGGCAGCTTTGAGGATGATGATGAGGACGACTGGGATGACTGGGATGATGGCTGTACGGTGGTGGAGGAGCCACGGGCTGCTGGGCTGGGTGCCAATGGGCATCCCCCACTCAACCTTTCCTACCCAGGGGCCTACCCCAGCCAGCACATGGCTTTCCGGCCCAAGCCACCCCTGGAGCGGCAAGACAGCCTGGCATCAGCCAAGCGGGGCAGCATGGTGGGGCGCAACCTGAACCGTTTTTCTTGCTTCGTGCGCTCTGGTGTGGAAGCCTTCATCCTTGGAGATGTGCCCATGATGGCCAAGATCGCTGAGACCTACTCCATTGAAATGGGGCCCCGTGGACCCCAGTGGAAGGCCGACCCCCACCCATTTGCCTGCTCTGTGGAGGACCCCACCAAACAGACCAAGTTCAAAGGCATCAAAAGCTACATATCCTATAAACTCACCCCTACCCACTCAGGCTCACCTGTCTACCGGCGCTATAAACACTTTGACTGGCTCTACAACCGTCTGCTGCACAAGTTCACCGTCATCTCGGTCCCCCACCTGCCTGAGAAACAGGCCACTGGCCGCTTTGAGGAGGATTTCATTGAGAAGCGCAAGCGGCGGCTCATTCTCTGGATGGACCATATGACCAGCCACCCCGTGCTCTCACAGTACGAGGGCTTCCAGCATTTCCTCAGCTGCCTGGATGATAAGCAATGGAAGATGGGCAAGCGCCGTGCAGAGAAGGACGAGATGGTGGGCGCCAGCTTCCTGCTTACTTTGCAGATCCCTACAGAGCACCAGGACCTTCAGGATGTGGAGGACCGTGTGGACACCTTCAAGGCCTTCAGCAAGAAGATGGATGACAGCGTCCTGCAGCTCAGCACTGTGGCATCAGAGCTTGTGCGGAAGCATGCGGGTGGCTTCCGCAAGGACTTCCAGAAGCTGGGCAGCGCCTTCCAGGCCATCAGCCAGGCCTTCCAGATGGATCCCCCTTTCAGCTCTGAGGCCCTCAACAGCGCTATCTCACACACAGGCCGGACCTATGAGGCCGTGGGCGAAATGTTCGCTGAGCAGCCCAAGAACGACCTCTTCCATATGCTCGACATGCTATCCCTCTACCAGGGCTTGCTTTCCAACTTCCCTGACATCATCCATCTGCAGAAAGGTAGGCCCTCGGCAGCCAGGGGACTTCCCAAACTTGATGCTCCATCAGACCCTGGGATGGGGGTGGCCTTAGAATGGGGCAACTTTCTGAGTCTGTCTTTAACTGTCATTCACTCAACAAACATGTTGGGTATATCCTCTGTGGCACCCTTGTCCTCATGGTCATGGTGCTCCACATTTGCTGTGGCTCAGCTTAGGCATTTTCTGTCGTGTCTGGTTTACGCCATCATGCATGCTATTGGGCTGGGTCCTGGGAACACAGAGCTGACCAGGCCCCAGGCCCAGATAACAGGAGCACAGTGAGCAGCCTGTCTTCCCGCTTCACAGACTCCTGGCCACCTTGGCTGCTCCTGTCCTCCTATCTGTGCTCCTGAGCTCCTATCTGTGCAGGAGGATCCCTGTCCTCATTTGCAGATTACAGAACTACAAGGAGGTTGCACAGGGAGCTGTGGCCCAGCTGAGACTGTCCCTTCCTCCTGCCACCTCCCAAGGCCCAAGGCTACCTTGGCTGCCTCCCAGGTCCAGCCGTGTTTTCGATTCCCAGGGCCCCATCTGTGGAGGAGGGACAGGATGGGCCCCTGCCTGTTGCTGCTGCGCTGTGCAGGAGCTACCAGGGAAATGAATCATCTGGGTCACAAGGGGGCATAGACAGGCTGGGGAGCAGAACTGGGGGTCCAAGGCACTGGCTGTGAGGCTCAGCCAATCCCCCTTCCCAAGCCTGGCTTCTCTTCTTCCCTGGGGTGTGAATCAGGGAGTGACCATGCAAGTGGTAGAGTTCTGAGGACAGTGGCAGGTGGATGTCAGGAGAGGTGTGGCCCTCCCTGAGGCTGCTGATAATTCTGGAAGAATGGGGCAGGACCCTGAGCCCTGAGGTTAGGCCTGGCTAGTGGGAGCTTGACTCTGGGTGGGGTGAGGCAGGCTTCCTCTCATTCAGGGGACAGTGTAGCCTCTCCTCATCCTTGGGTGCCAGTGGAGTCTGGAGAAGGTGGTGGCTCTCGTTACTAGCAGAGTGACTGTCAGAACTTCTCCTCTCACCTCTCCTTTTCCCCCTAAACATTCCCTTTCAGTTCCAAGAGACACAAGGCCCGAGTTTTAGTCAGATTGTTTCCCAGTTCACCGGTGCTCTGGGATGTGCCTTCCCTGCCCCCTGCCTCAGTTTCCTCTATTTGGAACAAGAGGGGAGCCCCATGAGCTGTCAGGCTTTGGAAGGAGGGAGGGGGAGGGTACCCGAGGGACCCAGCAGCCAAATGGTGCTTTGGGTCTGCACTGGGTGCCATGGGGCAAGTGCCTTCTTGGGCGGAAGTGAACCTCACCTGCACCAGGCCTGGGTAAGCTGGTTCGACCAGCTCCTCCATGGCGTGTTTCTGTGTGGGCAGCAGGAGGCTAGGTCTGATGATGAAACAGCTCACACCATGCAGCTGCTGGGGCAGGGCTGGGGCAGAGCAGGGGCAGCAGGGTGACCCATGCCCAGGGTTCCCAGAGCCCTGGGCTCACAAAGAAGCCATAAGGCAGGGAATCAGAGTGCAGGAGACTGTGTCTGGGTCCCTCTGAGTTATTTCTGGGACTCAGAGCCACTGTTCCCTGGAATAGCCATGCAGCCTGAAGCAGAGGCTGGAATGCATACCGTCCACCTGGAACCCCCGTGGCCAGGTTCCATGGGCTTCTTTAGGTTATGGAATCTGGCCTGGCATCCAGGGTGAGTGAGAGAGGAGGGTTTGGAACTGTTTGAGACAGACCTGGGCAGGCTTTGGGGATCTTGGCCAGGAAAGCCCTATGGATAGAGGTACTAGGTCCCAAGTCTGCACAGCCTAACCTCTGCTCTCCTCTGAGGCTTTTATAAGTGGAAAAGCATGCTGCCATGAGCCACCACTAGCTGAGTACATGTTGTAACACCGAGGGAAGAAGCCTGGCACCCAGCTCCTGGCTTCCTGAGCTCTGGGTCCCTGCAGATGCTGTCCTCAGCTACTCCAGGCAGGCATTGTCACAGAAGTAGAAGCACAGCTCTATATGCTGTGAGGAGTGGTGAGGAGTGTCACATACAGGATGGTCTGTCCCATGTCACAGTGGGGAGAACTGTAGCTTAGGAGGAGCAAGTGTTGTTGCAGGTGGCACAGTGGGGACTGGAGCTTAGCCTTCCTGCTCCCACCCGGGATAGATGGTGGTTACTTTCAGGGGACAGATGGTTTGAGGCTGCAGCTTGGGAACCTGTCAGGGAGCAGGGATTCTGTGGCTGGTGGCTTCAGCTTTCCTTTACCCATTGCTGGGACCTGGCTGCCAGGCAGCCAGTGAGTGACCCAGGCACTCTCAGTGACTTTCATAGAACACAAGAGGGATGCTAAGTGGCTGCCCTGCTTCCAGTCTGCTTTGCTGGGTGGGAAAACTTAGCCTCAGCTGGTCCTGGCCCCAGAACTGAGTCACAGGGTGGGGAAATGACAGAACAGGGTGGGGCCTCTGCCTGTCCCCACCCCTGCAACCTTTGCCCCCATCCCTGGCTCCTGTCTACCATGAATACCATGAATACCGAGCCAGCACCGAGGGGTAGGTTCCTTCTTGCTCCAAGGGGAGCTATAGGAAAAAAGCCTTTTGAACACAGATCCAGTCTCCCTGCAGCCAGCCTTGCACAGCAGGTGGGATCTGGGGCCCGCTGTGATCTCCTCCTCAGGTTGCTTCCTCTGGCAGAAGCTCAACTGCAGTTGATTGGTCCTGCTGTTGTTTTTCAGGTTTTCTTCCCTCACTCCCCTCATCTCTTTCTGACCTTTTAGTGTGTGTGTGTGTGTGTGTGTGTGTTACTGATTAAACTCAGGGCCTTTGCACTGAGCTACATCCCCAGCCCTTTAAATTTTCATTTTTATTTTACTTTATTTTATTTTTTATTTTTTGGTGGGAGTTGAATCCAGAGCCTTCACATTGAGCCAGTCCTTTTTTTTTTTTTTTTTTTTTTTAAACAAGGTGTGGTAAATTGGCCAGTATAAGTCATACACCCTTCACTCTGCTTCTTCATATTGAGCTACATTTCTATTATTTTTTTTCTTTTTTTTTTTTTTTTTTTTTTGAGACACGTCTTGCTACACAGTTTGGGCTGGGCTTGTGCTTACTCTTGTAGCCTCCAGGCTGGTCCTCATAGTGATTCTCCTTTTTCAACCTCCCAAGTGCCACCATGCCTGGTTCCTATTTTATTTTATATTATTTTTGGTACCAGGAATACAATTTAGGTGCTCGAGATTGCTAGGCAGGTGCTGTGCCACTGAGCTGGCCCTAAATTTTTATTTTTTTATTTTTATTCTTATTTTTTTATTTCAAAAGTCTTGCTAAGTTGCCTAGGCTGGTCTTGAACTTATGTTCCTCCTGCTTTGGCCTCTCTGTGTGGTGGCATTACAGCTGTGGCCTATCACATCTGGCTTCTGTACTTTCTTCTTATGGGACCTCCTGCCCCATGGGACCTTCTTGACTCCCTGTGTCCATTCTGGGCTCCCACAGCAGAGGGTTGCTGGACTGTTGCAGAAGGCTGGGGGCAGGAAGGAGGCTGGGAGTACAGAGGCAAGTCCCTGCCCCTCAAGACCTCAGTTTCCCCTTCTAGTTGGGGACAGGAAGGAGTTTTTTCTGGGGTGTCTTCAGCTCTGCATTCTCTTACTGCCCCCACTGTAGGCCTTGGGGTGGTTCTGGCTCACTTGCCCAGGGCCACACTGTCAGGATGAAGCAGGAGCAGGGTGTTTGAGGAGGGGGATAGAGGGCTGCCTGCTGGACCTGGGAGCTGAGCACTGCACATTTCTTTGTGTTCTGCTGGGGCAGCCCACAGGCTCCGGAATGGAGTCTGCTTCAACTGCTCCTGGGGAGCAATTAGCCATTCAGTTGCCAACAGAGACAGGTGCTGCCGCTCCTAAAGGCTTCCAGTTATGTCCAGCTTCAACAGAGAGCCATTGCCTGGCATGTAGTAAGTGATTCATAAGTGCATTTTGGATGCATCTGACAACTTGAGTGAAAATAAAGAGAATGCCACCCTGAAGGACACAGGCTCTCACCTTGAAGAAGGAGTGGCGAAGCGTGGGTCCTGGTTGTGCTGTCTGTGTGCAGTGGATTCTGGGGTGCTGCCTTCCACACCCTGCCCATCTCTATCATCTTTGCAATTGATGCTGTCCTGTTCCTCGAATGCCAGGCACAGATAGGAGGCCTTCTCCTCCCGCTGGCTTAAAGGCACCACAAGTCAAGTGTCCTCTAACCCACAGCTGAATCCATTCACCAGTTGCTTGTTACTCTTCAGAGTCTTCTAGGTTGAGTTCCCTGCCTGGGTGGATTCCCCACTCATGCCCACCTGTCACTTGGATATCACAGTAGCTTCCTGTGGTCTCTTGGGGCTGCTGGATGTGGGAGGCACACCAGGTGGCCTTTGAAGAGCTGCTTTAGAGTGACAGGCAGGTGGGGGACCAAGGGACAGATGAGATCAGGTAGCGTTTTCCCAGGGGGACTGGGGATGCTCTGGTGTGGAAGCAGTACCCGATCTAGGCCTTGAATTATGAATGGGCATCTAGCAGGCAGAGGTCTGCAGTCAGGAAAGAGCGGGGAGGGTTTGATGACTGCAGGGTCAGAGTGGGCCAAGAGGGTGGGTATGGTCCTTGATCTGCACGTGGTGGGAAGCAGGAGGTCACCTAGTTTGGAGGTTAGATTGGGGTACTTTGGGACAGTCTCTGGGCAGGCACAACAGCCTTAGGGGACAGTACAGTATCCCAGAGATGGAGGTCACCCACAGGATCTGTTGTGGGCCAGGCTTCTCTCCTGGAGGACAGGATAGGAGCACATCAAGCTCACAGCCCAGGACAGGTGGGCAGAGAAGGCACCGGTTGAGGGGGAACCCAGGGCTCCTCTGAGGAGCCTCCAGAGACTGAGGGAACTAGGAAGACTTCCCGGAAGAAGAGAGGCCAGGAGGCATTGGGAGGTGGTGTGAGCATGAGATCTGCGCTGGGGATTCGGGAACTGCCCAAGCCTGGTGTAACCACATCTAGGAAGGCCAAGACTGCTCAGTGTAAGCCACTGGTTGTGCCCAAATGTGGAGGGAAGATGGTGTGGTAGAAGCTGCAGCAGTAGAGGGTGCCTTGGTGGACACATCCAGGAGGCCAGGTCACTGCCTGGTCATTGCTCCAAAGCAATGTTATCCACCACTGGGAGGCAGGGGCAGGCAGGGTATGATGGCTGAGTCCCCTTCCCTCACCTGCCTATCCTTGCCCACAAGGCGCCTTTGCCAAGGTGAAAGAGAGCCAGCGCATGAGTGATGAGGGCCGGATGGTACAGGATGAGGCTGACGGCATCCGCAGGCGCTGTCGTGTGGTGGGCTTCGCCCTGCAGGCTGAGATGAACCACTTCCACCAGCGCCGCGAGCTCGACTTCCAGCACATGATGCAGAGCTACCTGCGCCAGCAGATCCTCTTTTACCAGCGTGTGGCCCAGCAGTTGGAGAAGGCCCTGCGCATGTATGACCACCTCTGACTGTGTGCCCCACTCCCCATGGCCTGGTCACAGTGGGGCTGGGGCTTTGGTGGGTGAAGTGGGTGGGAGAAGGGGCTTTGGAGCCGTTCTGGCCAACCTGTTTTAGAGATAGGGCAGGGCAAGGCCTGGCCGCCCTCACCACCCCTGTTCACTCAGTGCCCCTATGGTCGGGGACCAGTTGGTGTGTACCCAGTCTGGTTCTTGTCCCAGGGGGGCCCCCATCCAAGTCAGGGGTCAGACACAGCATCATGCAGAGGTGATGCAGTGTGACAGGTAGCTGAGGAGGGGGCTCCTGGAAGCTCCCAGGTTGGTCCAAGCTTCCTGCGACCAGCATAGGCAATGTTCCAGCAGCATGTCTGGATGGAATGAGTGACAAGGACCTGCCAGACAGAAAATGGAAAGGATTTTTGGGGAGAGGGGTCACATGGAGTCTTCTCTCCCTTACCTTTCCCATGCATATTTGGTGTCCCATTCATGGGGTCTCTGGCATGGTAGCAGAGGGAAGGGATGGCCCTTGCTCCCTGTCCTACCCTGTCCTTTGCAGGAGGGGCTGCAGGCAACTCCTCCCTGCAGGCCTGTGCTTCCCCTGCCCTGTTATGCATCCACATTCCCTTGCTTTGGGGCCAGGTAGCATATTTCCCCCTGGGCTTGGGGGTGCAAGACAAGCCACAGACCGTAGACCCTAGTGGGGTTTTCCTGGAGGGGATGCCCTCAAATTATGGATTATTTGAGATCCCCAGCAGTAAGTGCCTTGCTCCAAGCCAGCCCAGACCCCAGCTCCCACGGTCCTTGGCTGGGGAGGTGTTGTCTTTGGGAATCCTTCCTGGCCCTCTGTGGGAGCCCAGGGGAGAGTCAGGGATTCAGTTCCCAGCCCTTTGAAGCTCCTAGTCACCTCTGCTGTCTGCAGCCTGTGTTTACATCCTCTAGGGGTTGCCACCACCTCCTCCAGACCAGGGCATGGCTGAGCAGCAGTGAGGGGGACAGTGACCTTTTCACCTCTGCCCCCAGGAGGTCTTGGTCTGCTCATAGCTGCTGCTGCTGCTGCTGCTTGAATTTTTTCTCTTTTTTCCCCCTCCTATTAACATGACAAGAACATAACTCTGTGTGGTGGATCCTGGGAGGGCTGAGGACAGGGAAGGCTGGACCCTGCATTGTCCCTGGAAGCCACTGGATGAGATTTGGTGGTCATGGTGTTTTGACCATAGACCCTCAACAGGTAGGGTATAAGGATCTGCTAGGAGGAGGTAGAGGTGGCCCAGACATTGCTGTCCTTGGTTGTAAGGGCTGTAAGATGGGGTTCCCTCTCTCCCTACAGGGTTTGGCTGCTCTGCTTCCTGTACCCTGAGGTTATGGGAAGGAGGCTTGGGAGGCCTCACCCAGGACACTCCCAGGTGCTTTCCACCCCACTGGAGCCACATCCAGGCCTTGTCTTTGGAAAGCCCCAGTCCAGGGAGGGGTGGGGACACCCAGAAACCATGTCCTTCCCTATAATTCCTGGGTCCCTTGCTCTTTGGTGGTTCAATGCTGAAAACTGAAGATGGCAGCTGGGTCTTTTGGGGTATACAGTCCAGGTGATAGGATCGAGCAGGGTGGACACACTGTCTTCAGGTGGCCAGGGGAATCAGAAGGGCTAGGTTAGGTGCCTCTCAATGTCAGGGCTGCCAGGGAGGCCTTGCCAGGCCAGCTTATGACAAGAGATGGGTACAGACCCTGCTGTTTAGGGCAGAGCGTCCTCATAGGAACTTCTGGAATGAGTCCTCTGGCCCTGGGTCAATATTAGGTCAGATTTGGGACTTTTTGAGGAATTTTCCCCTCCCTGTCCTCCTTCCTTCATTTTTTGGCTCATCATAGGACTTAATGTCTGTCCTAACTCTGCTCAGCTGTGACTTGCTGTGACTCCCTGTGTCGTCTGCAGAAGGCCACTGAGTGTGGTAGGGACAGGGTCTCCTTCTGGCACAGTGTGGGAGGCCCCTTGTTAATGCCACCTGCCCTGGTGAGCTGTCACCCTCTTATGTCCTTTCACTGAGAGGGGCCACCTCCTGTGCCTGCTGTCCTGAAGGTCAGCACTTAGGAAGGGCTTGGACCTTGGAGAAAAAACAGGAAGGGAAGTTTGGGGTGGGCCAGGCGTCCTGAGGTCCCTGGGTGGGGAAAGGTGTGTGGGATGAGGAGTGAGGCATCACAGCCCCTCCGTTTGGCTTCTTTTTGTCTGTGAGGGTTGGGGTGTTGGGGAATCTGGGGTTGTTCTGGGCTGGTCAGAGCACCTCTCAGCAGAAGACTGAGGGATCAGTGGCAGAGAAAGGGGACATACTGACAGGGCTCACTGGCCTCAGTGACATGCCAGCAGGTGTTCCAGGCTGAGCTGGGCCCATCTGCCTGCACTTTCCTCCCTTGCTTTGCTCTGGATGGGGTAGAAGACAAAGCCTCTTTTTCTATCCTCAGTGGCCACAAGTACCTGCATGGGGATGGGGGTACCACTGATTCCCAACCCTGGCCTGGCCTGGGAAGTGGAGTCTACTGTGTGGCCTCATATGGGCTGAGGATAAGGTAGACTTTGGATGCTATGTGCCATTGCCTTGGACACAACAGAGTTGGGAGTCCTGAGCCATGGCTGCAGCGCCAGCTGGAGCAGTCAGGCCTAGGAGACTGGGATGGCCCTGGCAGTGCTGTGACACATTCATGCAGAGACGTAGTCCAAAGCCACAGAGTCACATACAGTCCCACTGCTTGCCTACCAGCTAAAGCTGGCCATGTATACATGCACACTCATGCTCACAAGTCACACCCCGCCACACTGCCACAGAGGCATAGCCACTGTCACTCATGTCTGGCTCAGCGGCTTTGCCATGCACACAGCCACAGATTTGAGTGTCACATGCACTCAGCCATATGCCAATTCCATATATACACAGTACAGGGTCATGCAAGCATGGCTACTTCTAGGCTACACCTGTGCCATCTCCTAGGTCCCTAGTCCAGTTCATCAGAGATTCCACAGGACTCTGAGGTACAAGCAGCCTGCAAGGGCAGGTGTCCCCAAAGGGAGGACAAGAAGCCACAATAGCCCTGGGATACTCGCCTTGAGAGGCCTGGTGTTGGGTGAATGGACCATACCAAGTTCAACTCTTCACCTCATAGATAGCAACCCTGAGGCCTAGTGATCTCGGGAACTACCAACTCACTCGGCAGATGGGGGAGACTCTAGGGTCAGACCCATCTTTGTGTGGGCTCTGTGGTTTGGCCCTGCCTGCCCTGGGCCCATCTCTAGGGCCAAGCTGCTCTGAAGCTGCTGGCTGTGGCTCATAGAACTCCAGGTGTCACCATCTTTCCAGCCCCAGCTGAGCTGCGCTGCATCTGCAGGGCGGGAACAGGACACGGTGGGCCTGCCCAAGATGGGCGGGAGGGACATTCCTGTGTCATATCCTCCTAAACATGTGAGGACCAGGCCTGCCCCACTGCCGTCTGAGTCAGGCCTCTGGGAGCTAAGCTGGAATACCCCCAACAACCACCCCAAAGTTGTTCCCTGCCAGGTGACCCAGTACTTCTTTGCTGGAAGACCCTGGGTCAAGTGGAAATTCACCTCTCCCAGTGGAGATTGGAGCTCTGAAGGGCTGATTGGGAAATCCAGCCACCCCTCCCCCCACAGTGAGCAACACTCTTTGGTTTGGTTTGATTAGCCAACCCCAGCACAGTCCAGTCTGTTTAAAAAGCAGTTGCTTGCATAGCTGTGGCTTCCTTGGTTTACATGCCAGTCTGGGTGACATCTCAATTCCATTTCACAGACAAAGAGACTGAGACTTGGCCAGGGAGAATGGTACCCAACCTAGAATCCCACAGCAAGGCTGGCTAGGGCTGGGCTGGAACCCAGTTCTCTGGCTTCATTCTCAAATTTGAACTGATGAGGTCACTTAGGTCCAAGGGAAGAGGGTGTGGCAGGCTGAAGAGGGTCTGCTTTAGAAGGGAGAGAATGGCAGGCTGGTGAGCCAGCTGCCATGAGGAGAGGGGGCTTGAAGTGCCTGAGGGTGGGGTGAGCCCTGGCAGCCCCTCCCCCCCAAGTCTGAAGGCAGCACAGCATGTGACATCCACAGTGAGTCTGGCTCCATTCGCAAAACAACATGCGTGAGGAGCCTGACTTCATTTTCCTGGTCCTCCCTGGGTTTCTCTCCATTCCCCACATGGTAGAAGAGTCCTCGCTATGATGCAGGAGCCCTGCCTGCGCCAGGCTTCCGTATGATCCTTGGGGATAGCACATTTGAAGATGTCGGATAGGACTGGCACTTTTGTTCACTGATTCATTCAAGACAGTAGGTAGTCCAGGCCAGCCTTGAGCTCACTGGTAACCCAGACTGCCCTCAAACTCCATCTTCTTGCCTCAGCCTCCTGAGCGCTGGATTTCCAGGTATGTGCCACCACCCTGGCAGAGGTTTACACATGGAAGCCCACATACTCAAATTTAACTGTACACTACATTAAAGAGTTTGGTTTACTACTTGAAAGAAACCTTGTCATGTAAATATTTAATTAAAATCTATTATTTTTGGTGTTGCCTTTTTTGTCCCCCCCTCCCCCCCAGTGCTGGGAATCAAACCCAGGCAAATACTCCTCCATTGAGCTACACTCCTAGTCTGGTGTTCTTTCTTTTATTTGATTATTTTTGTATTTTGTTTTTGGTTGGTTGGTGGTTTTTGTTTTTGAGACAAGTGTCTCACTGTGCAGCCCAGAGTGGCCTTGAATTTATGACAGTCCTCCTGTGTGCTGGAATTCCAGTTGTGTGCCACCATACCCAGCTCTATTTTTCCCTCCCCTTTCCCTCCCTTTGTTTTCCTCCCTTCCCCTTCTTTCCTTCTCCCTGCCCCTCCTCTCTTCTCCCTTCCTGCCCCTCCTCTCTTCTCTCCCCCCTTCCTCTTCTCTTCCTTTTAGGTGCTTTGCTTTCCAGCACCTGCCCCTGGCTGCACACATTGGTCTAGGTTGCTTCCTGTGGAGTGGGCCTTGGCCCTGGGTCCCTGCCACTGTAGTCCCAGGCAGTATGGGGCCCTTGGTTCCTCCTTGTTCATGCCTGCCTCCCTTGTCTGCTCTCACTGCCCATCCTGAGGCCCTGAGAGAGAGGTTCAGTTTTCTGCTCTTTGGCATGCAGGGCTTTTCTGTGGCTCCTGCACCAAAAGCTAATAAGTGTCTCTTCTGTGGCCTCTGTCCCTGTGGCTTGTGGTCCTCATTCCACAGCTCCTGCCTCACATCCCATTTAGCAAGAGGCTCTGGGGCTGCTTAGATGGCCCATGCATGGAGTCATAGGGACCTGGCTGTTCTTTGGGGTCCACCTGGGAGGGGGGCAGAAATCCCAATGCCTTGGCTCTTCCAGCCACTTGAAGGTTTCTCCCATCTTCCAGTGTATCCTGTGGTGGACATGGGGTGCCCATTATTTCCTAGCCTGTGTGCAAGAGATTATCAGTATCATTTTATAGACCAGGAGCTAGGACCCAGCAAGGGAGGTGCCGAAGCAGCAGAGGCAGGGGACGAGATGGTTCCCAGGCCTGGGCCATCTGTGCTGAGGGGAAAACGGCCTGGAGCAGAGAGGTCAGAGCTGGCTGGGGCACTCAGGCTCCTAGAGCCTCTTCCTGGCATGCTGAACCCCTTGCTGCCATGGGTGGGCATGCAAAGCTCACCCCATACCCTTCTGTCCCCTTGCTCCCTCTCCCTCCACCTCCAGAGGTAGGACAGCAGTATGTCGGGACCAAGCCCAAATCCTACCCAATGAGCTCTCAATGTCAATCCAGGGACATAACTGCACCAAGCTTCCGTTTCCCATTTACGGCAGAGTTCCAGGCCATGGGGAAGGTTCTGTCCAGACAGAACATGTCAGCTGGCAGCGCTGTGCAGCCGGCCCTCAGCAAGAAGTGGCCATGATGCCAGCCCCTGGCAGAGTGGATAGTGGATAGAGGTGTGAGCTGGAGTCCTGGCACTGCACCTCCCAGGCAGGATAGTGGACTGAGCAAGCTGTGTAGGCCACTGGTGGCTGCTGCCAAAGTGAGATCAACTTCCCTCTTCTAGACCTAGGTCACACTCCTATGGGGTGTCCCTTACTGTAGAAGGGGTGAGGCCTTCTGGAGGCCTCCTGGCTTTTGTGGCATTCCTTGGTCCAGACAGGAGGGGCCCCAGGCCATGGCTCTCACACACACACACACACACACACACACACACACACACACACACACACCAGTGCATATGGCAGCACAGTCCAGGTGTACCTTAAGCCCTCTTGGATGTCATCGTTGGGTGGCCTTGGCTGGGTCAGTGCTCAATTTGTGCCCCCAACCCTCCAGCAGTGGTTGTCATAATTACTCAGGGCTTCACATAAACCTCCTTGCCACTGTCTTGTCCCTGGTGTGCCATGTCTTCAAAGCCACGCAGCCCAGTCAGGAAGGGTGGGCCCAGGGCTGCAGCAGCAGATAGTTTTCAGTCTTGCGTGGCGCCAGCCTAGGCTCCATGCCCACTGTGAGCTCTGTCATTGCCCTCAGCAGTCTGGAAGGTGGAGCCCCTCCTGCCAGCATTCTCCACAGATGGTGGCCCAGGGCTCTGAGTCACTCTGGGGAGCTTGGGCAGCTCCCCTGTGCAGGCCTGGACTGAGGTCTGTCTGAGTCTTAGTTGAGCCCTTTCCATGCTCCTGACTGCCTTTCACAGACTGCTGGGCCAGTCCACAGAAGAGTTGGGGAGCAGGTGGCAGATACGAGGGGGGTGGCTGTGTCTTCATGTTGGCAGGTGCAAGGCCTGAGGGTGTGGCCCATGGAGAGCACTGAGCAAATATTCGTGGAGCAATGATTTCCTGCCCGGCCTCAGTGTGGCAGCCAGGCCTGCTGTGGGCAGGTGGTTGGCAGGGAGACTGGGTAGTGGCCTCGGCCACTGCACTGGTCTGAGTGTCACCAGGACCTTCCTTTCTTTGAGGCCAACATGGGGCAGTGAGAGAGCAGGGAAAGGCTGGGCTGGAGGCTAGGAGGGTCTAGGCTCGGGTGGGGCAGGCAGAGGTGGGGTGACAGCAGTGGGGTCTATGCTTGGTTGAGGGGAGCCAGAGTGACCTTCTATACTCAAAGCTAATCCAGCTCACATTCCCCCACAGAGTCAACTCCAGGCACCTCTGTCTGCTCACACCCACAGGGACCTCTCTGATCCCACCTGGGTGCCTCTCCTCTTTGCTTTTGGGTCCTGGGTCTCATCTGTCTCTCGCTGTCCTCCTAGGCCTGCTGGCACCTCAGGCCCTTTGTGTTTTCCATCCTGTCCAGAATGTTGTCCTACTGAAGTAGTATGAAATTTGTACCTCAGTGAATTTAGATTTTTGCTTAAATGTCACCCCCACTAGAAGCCTTTCCTGACTGAAGAGTCTTCCTGGTTCCTCTGTTCCCTTATGCTGCCTTCTTTATTTCACTTAATACCAACTGCCAATTATACACATGTGTGCATTATACTTATTGCAGAGAATTTCAGACTTGCAAAACCATAAATTCATACAATGGGTCCCCAAGTGCCCATCCCTCAGCCTCAACAGTGGTCAATATTGGGCCAGTATTTTAAACAATCAATTAATTTGCTGTACTGCAATCCCATAGCCTTTATACTAAGATATATGCTCAGACCTTTTTATTCTTAATTTTTGAGACAAGGTCTCACTAAATCATAAGTTGGCCAGCCTGGATTTGGACTTTTTATCCTTGTGCCTCAGCCTCCCAGAGCACTGGGATTACAGATGTGCTTTGGCCAGCATTTTAACCTCCCTCCCTCCCTTGCCTCCCAGCGAATTCCCCACACCCCATCATCTGCAGATCTTCCTGTGCAAAGATTATTTTTATTTTAACTGTGTCTCTTTCTGGCCTGTCTCTCCCAGGGATGCTGCTTCAGGGGAGCTGGTATCATGTCCATCACACACTCATCGCAGGTGACTCTGGACATCTGCAACCCTGGGGACAGTGCGTGTGCAGATTCAGGTTTGCTCATGCCTGCTGCTGTCAGGGAGAGTGCACGCACGCGGCCCTGTGGATGCATGTGGGTGTGCACGTGTGTGTTGCCCTGCAGCTGGTGGCCGAGTACACGCCTTGCCCCTGATGTCATCTCCCACACCCCCAGGACCCAATGACTCAGTGTAGGCTGGGCATGTCCCAGCTCAGCCCTGTGCAAGCCTGAGAGCCCCTCCTTGTCCTATCCTTGCATGGCAGGCCCCACCAGTGGTGTGGGCAGTCTCTTGGCTCCTGGCACTGAGGCCGAGCCCAGTGCCACTGCTCAGCACTGGCTGGGCACAGAGTGGGGTATGTGTGTGTGTGGGCGTGGTGTGGAAGACAGCACCCTAAGCCCAGGCCACAAGGTCTGCCTCCATCCAGCTGAGCCACTAATCTACTATGTGACCTCAGCCTGGTCCCCGTCTTCTGTCTCAGGTCCTGGTCTCAGAGGTGGAGCTGCGCTTCAGTCACTGTACCTGAAACTCTTCTGTGCAGTGTGTCTTCTAACCACCTGGGCACTGGCTAAATGCAGTCTGACTCAGCGGCTGGGACAGAGCCCTAATTTTCTTTTCCTTTTTTTATTTTGGTGCTGGGGGTGGAACCCAGAGCCTCGTGCATGCCAGGGGCAGGCACTCTACCATGGAGCCATATCCCAGTCCAATCCTTTGTTCTCAATGGGCTCTTGAGCAATGCTGGTGCTGCCGGCCCATGGCCCCTACTTTGAGCCTCAGAGACTTAGACACCTCACCTTGTCTCAACCTTTAGAACCCAGGAATGGTCAAGGGGGCATCTGGTGTTTAGCTTTGGGCTTTGGGATAAGAGAGCCAGCAGCTCTTAGGTTGGGGGACAGGGGTGCTCCCTTTTTTAGTAGAAAAGTCCCTTCTTGGCCACTGGGTTGCTCCTGTCTCTGTAGGGGCCCTTGTGGCTTCTGAAATGTGAAGGAAAACAGTGCAACCCACTAATTATCCTGGTGGCCACAGGTGGTGACACCCTTAATAAGGACAGAAGCCATCAATTACTATAATTCCTTATACCAAGGATGCAACATAACCAGGCAGTCGTTAAGCATCTCCAGATGCAGTGTGGTCAGCCTTTTTGTCTAAGGACAGAAGGAAGCACAGGCAGCTTCTCCTCACTGGCCAGCTCATGCTGCTGGGTGAAGGTGCACATCAGGGATTGGCAGTGACTCCTTGGAGTGTCTGGGGCTCTTGAGGAAGGGCTGGATGGGTCCAGTCTGCACCTGTCATAGCATGCTTGGCATAAAATGCCCTGCCAGTGTCAAGTAATTTTCGTGGTAACTGCACAGTGGTAATCGGAGAAGACCTCAGCAGGATGGGGCAGTAGTCCACTGGGTCTGGGCTCCCCTCTTGGTTCTTCCACTTGCCAGGGCTCCTTTCTGTGTGTCCAGGACCAGGAGACCCCACCAAAGAACTTTGGAGGTCTCAGTTACTTCACTTCTTTAAGATCAGCAGCCTTCCAGGGCCCCAGGAAGATGCTGGCAGTCCTGGCGTTTCTCATTGGTTGGGAGGTAGGTAGGGTTCCACAGCTGCCATGGCAACCCCACTTAAAGGACCAGCTTGTAGAAGGGCTCAATGGTAGCCCCTGTGAGCAACTAAGTGGCAAACACTTAGTGTGGACAGCAGGAATCCAGGGATCTGTGCCCCTGTAGCAATCCCTGTACATTCTGGGGTTCACTGTTCATTATCCAGCTCTGCTAATGTCAGTGTGGGTCCCCTAATGGGAAGGGTATTGTCCTGGCCCCCTTAGCTCTGTGACAAGGCATAGGAAAGATGTATGGACTTCTGAAGTTGGTGGGTACCTGCCTGTGTGTGAACGTACTGCACAGGTGGTACTGGGCCGTGCCATAGGTTGAAGATTGAAGACTGTGTGTGAACCTGTGTTCCCATGCACAAGTATGTGCCATGGTTTATGTGTGTATGAGGCAGAGGCAAAGACCCTTCTTCCAGAGTTCCCGAACATGTGTACGTGGTGTGGCTCCCATCTCCAGCTCCTTATAAGAAGGAGGTGGTGTTATTTCACAGCATGGAGGGCAGCTTTCTTAAAAACTGTGGGGACACAATGAACAAGCCAAGGCCCTATGCCATGCCAGCCTCCCAGCTCCAGTGTGTCAGGGAAAGACCCTCTCCCTGGCCTTGGCATGAAGCCTGGTGCCAGCCCACTGTCCAGCCCAGGCCTGGAGGAGCAGAGCTGTGTCAGCCGGTGCCAGCTCCCTGGGGGCAGGGCTGCTGGCTGTAAACCAAGTGAACGAGTGAGCAAGTGAGCGGGTGTCATCAGCCCTCCGAGGAAATCTGAGCCAGGCCAGATCCTGCCTGGCGGGTCTGTCACCCCCAGCTTGGCTTACACTGCCGGCAAAACTGGCTGCACTGGGTAGGGGCTGGCCCCAGATAACAAGGCCCTGGAGTCCCAGCTCTGAGCTCCTGCAGGCAGGGCAGGGCAAGCATGCGGTGGTATATGGAGACATCCTCAGCAGGGTTTGCTTAGCCTGGGGTGCCACAAAGACCAGGTTTGTCCTGTGAGCTCAGGGTTCGGAGGGTTCTCTGGGTGCTCAACCACCCTTCTTGGGGGGCAGTGCTTTTTGGGGTGGCAAGAAGAGCCTCACGGGGCTAGGATCCTGTCTATCCTACTGCTACCTTACTGTGTGACTAGCCAATCCTCTGACCCTCTCTGGTTCTGTCTCTTCCTGGTTTTTTGGGACGCTTTCCATCATAATATGACTGGTGCCAGGTTTCCTTTGCAACTCCTGGGAGTGGAGAACCAGGGGCTGGATGCTGAGATGTGGCAGGTACATGGGGAGGGTGGCCCAGGGACAGGATGGAGGGAGCAGGAGTCTCACCTCTGGCCCTCACTCCTGGCTCCAAGGTTACAGATGCCAGGTACAGACAGAGGTCATCTTAGTGCCCAGAAGCAGGTCAGCTAAAACTTCTTTGGGTTCCCTAGTGCCTCAGGTCCCATCTCTAATCAAAGGATAGGCTGTCTGTCTGGGTCCAGTGACCTCTGGCTTTTCTGGGTTCTTTTTGTTTCCTCTGCCTTTTTCTTTTTAGGTCTGGAAGGGCAGCCCCCACACCTGCCCTCTGCACAATGTCCCGGCCCTGGAGCCCCTGCTGCCCTTGCCTTGGTGATTCAACTGTGTGAGAAGTGGGTGGAGACTCAAGCTGAGAAACCCAGGAGGACTGGGAGCATTTATTTTCTTTCTTTCCTTGTAGAGGGAGGACGTACTTCATCTCTACATCAGTCAGGGATTGTGCCAATCATCAGATTGGCACAGCAGCCCTGGATGGCCCCAGAGGTGGACACGCAGGGCTTCCCAGCCCTCCTCACCCCATTGCTAGCCCTGGAGAGCAAGGCTGCCCAGAGAGTCAGACGAAGCACACACAGCTGTCAAGAGCCGCCCAAGCCCCATTTATCCAGGCTGTAAGGACCAAGGCCCCCACTTGGCTGTCCCCAGTCCTCAGGGTGCACAGGCACTTTGGTGGCTCAAGATCCCCACGTCAGCCCAGTCTGCTCTGGGCTTGCTCTGTCCTTGGCCCATCACAGTGGCTCTGGCAGTAGAAGGGCTCCAGACTCCCCCATCCCAACCCGGGAGGGTGTGTGTGCCATTAGGCCCTGCAGGCCCAGCACCATGTTAAATAGCTTCCTTGCAATCCCCTGAAATAAACCACTTCTGAGCACCCACCCACCCTGCACCCCGAATATATTATTCTATAGGTGAATGCCTTTTGGAGAGGAGGGGCACCCCTCCTGCTCCCTGCCCCCAGAAAACCATGGCCCTAAAATCCTAGAGGTGGAAAAGGCTGCCCCAGCCCTGGGCAGAGATGGTAGAGGCCTGGGGTGGGCTGGGAAAGCCAGGATCAGATCATCCCCTCCACCTGGCCCATCTCCAAGTCTCTCTCCTCCTGTCCTTCGTGACAGCTTGGGTCAGGCATGACTTATTCAATGACACAGACCCAGGTCCAAGCAGAGTGCTGACCCCCCTAGGTGACTGCCCTGGCTTTAAAAGTCAGACCAACTCCAGGACACAGGCCTGACTCAGCCACCTCTCCTCTTGAATCCTCAGTTCTCCAGGTTCTGTGAACTGGGAGAGTCCAGCTCTTGACTCCATCCATCCTGTACCCTGGGGCCGCTCCTGGCATCCACCGCCTGGCTCTCCAGGTCTCGCTGTGGGGACTCGCAGCGCCAGGGAACGGGAGCAGGGCCTACCAGCCAGCACTACCCTCCTGGCTCACACCCAGTACTGGCCGTTCCTGAGGGCAGGGTTGGGTGTCCGGCAGAACTGTAGAAGCTCGGGGTCGGGCTGGCTTCCCGGTGGGGACCCCTGGCCAGGCACGGCGGTGAGTGGGATGGCCTGGCCTGGCTCCACCTTGCGGAAGGTCTCTGTGTCACCAGCAAGGCCATTGCGGGGCTTGGCAGCCAAGATCTGGACATCATGCTTGCCTGTCTTGTTGCGCTTGCGGAGGTAGAAGAGCAGCGGCAGGATGAGTGCCAGGAGCAGCAGGACCAGGCAAACGGGGACGATGACACTGAACATGTTGGCCTCTAGGAAGCCCAGAAAGCCACCCCTGGCCACAGTGGGCACCGGGCTGGACGCTGCTGGGGCCAGCCCACCTGTGGGGGTGCTGCTGTCCAGCTTTCCTGCTTCTGTCCGAGCAGCCTCAGGGACACTGAGCAGCGCCACACTGTAGGGCCGAGCTGGATCATAAGGTTCTGTGGCAAAGTCCAGTGAGGCCACGGCGGGCGGGACACCCTGGGCCCATAGCTCCAGAGTGAGGCTGTCCCCTGTGGGCCTGAGTGCCTGGCCCTCTGGCCTGCCCACCTCTAGCCCCAGCCTCCCAGCCTCGAGGTCCTGCTGTGTGAAATGGTCCACGGGCTGCTGGCTCTTGGGCTCCATCTGTGTTCGGGGAACACGCACCAGCCGGCCATGCCGGGGTCCCACCAGGAGCCGGAAGCGGGGTATACTGCCTGTGTGGTTGGCCAGCTCACTGGCATCCAGCACAGTAGAATCCAGGCGCAAGGTCGCACCCTGGGGCCAAGGGCCATCTGCTCCTACATGCAGCAGGGCCCTCACAGTGACGTTCACCGTGGCAGATGTGTTGGCACCTCTGGCCAGTGCCAGGACCCGGAAGTTGTCAGAAGAGGAGGAGAAGTTGGTGAAAGTGAAGACTACCTCCCCCTGGTCCACCTGCAGCTGGCTGAAGGCTGAGGTGGGCTGTCCGCTCACCAGCAACTGCCCATACTGGGGCCCCTGGGTGAGGCGGTAGACCGTGTCTGGTTCTTCCCGGTCTGAGAGCACCCAGAGCTGCTGCCGGCTCAGCGAGGCATGCCCTGAAGCCTGGGGCACCTCCAGAGGGGCCTGCCGCTGCACCTTGATGGCAGATGGCAAGATGTCCACAGCCAGGGACACAGGCAAGGGCGGGCTGGCCCCATCAGACACACTGAGCTGGAAGATGCCCGCCACACTGCTGCCATTGGCTACAAAGGCCAGCCGTCCCGCGTCCACATCAGCCTGGGTGAAGCGGGTCACGGGCCCCGGGCTGACCCCCACCAGGCTGAGGAAGCCGTTGTGGGGAGCTCGCTGCACTTCATACTGGATCTCCCCAGGGGCTGAGTCTGGGTCCACCACACTCAGCTGGGATCGAGAGACAGGGGCACGGGAGCCCCGAGTGAGCCGGAGTGGCACTGAGGCCTGTGGCTGAGGTGGGCGCTCATTTACATCCCGCACGGTGATGGTGAATGCCTCCACAGTTTGGGGTCCCACCACGGAGGTCCCTGCTGGCCCCTGGAGGTGGGCATGGAAGCGGAAGCCATCCTGCTGGGTGCCACCACCGCCGTGGGCATACACCAGCTCCCCTTCAGCCAGCTGGCTCTGCAAGAAGTGTGGCCTCCCTGCGTGGAGAGGTTCCTCAGACAGCAGTAGCTGGCCCCGTGTTGGGAACTGTGTCACCTGGAACAGCACATCATGCTCGAGACGCTGGGGTGCGGGGACACTGGCCAGGAGGTTGGCAGCATCCAGGGCAGCCACAGTTATCTTCGCCCGTTGGCCCTCAGAGACCCAGAGACCTGGGGGTGAGATGCCAGCTATGAGGTCCAGCCACTGTGGGAAAAGCTAGAGGTCTCGGGGCCCCCCAGGCAAGGCCAGGCCTCCAAGTGGGCCAAGTGCTCAGGATGCAGCTCAGGGTCCCAGGGAGGACAAGACCTGTGTGCAACCTGATCTCAAAGTCTCCCCCCAGCTCCCTATAGCTTCCTGGATCCTGGGGCCTGACAGGAGCCACTAGGCTGATTGTCTCTTTTCTCTGGGGGCCTTGTCCCGCACCCCCTCCCAACCCTGCAGCTCCTTGCATTGTTCACCTTTGTTTCTCCAGAGGCGGCTAGGGCGCTGGGGACAGGCAGCCTCGAAAGACACGACCACGGTCAGCACGGCGGCCACATCAGGGGCAGGGGGTGAGGACAGCAAGAGCTCTATGGCATCATGGGCTTCCCAGAAGGGCTTGCCGGACGGCTCGTGCTCATATAGCACATTCCCAGCAGACACCTGTAAGGACACCATGGACAGTGGTGACAACAGCCCAGACTGGTGCCCAGGAGCTGGCACCAGTATCTAGGTCTGTGTGTATCCCACCTTCGGCCTCACTAGCTCAGGGATTGGCAGAGCCAGGCGCCTCTGCCAGCAGGTAAACTTCTCCGATCCCTGGTCCCTGGGGATGCAACCCTTTCGCCTAGGTACAAGCCCCTCCCCTCCTGCCACCTGAGGACGCCGAGCCTGCACCCTCCTTTCCTTCCCTAGGGTATCAGTTTCCCCACATGGATTGTTCTCTTCATTATGCAACTGCGCTACTATTCTTTCTTCTATCTGAAAGAAACCCGCTGTGGGATTTACTTTTTCCACCAGCATCTGCACCCCTCCCCCTATTGTGTTTCTTGCAGCAGAATTCCTCCAGAAGAACCATCTATACTTTCATCCTCCTGTAACAAGCTCACTTCAATGTCACCAAGCCTGTTCTGCCCCAAGACAGGAATGGACAGTGTGTAAGATCCAGAGCTGGGGCTGTGACCCGCTGGGTACCCCTTTTACTCACTAGGGTTCCTTCCTCTCTTGCTCCTACTGCCCAGTTCTCCTGATCCTGGATGATGGTCCCAGGGGCTCCACGTGCGCTCAGCGCCCACTCCATCTGGACCTCTCACCTTGATCTTTAACTCCAGACTCAGATTCCTACCCTCATTCTCAGCGGCAGCTCTGTCACTGTGGAGTCCACTAGTGTCACAAACCCCACTGTCCTGGGTCTCCTCCTCAGTGGCTTAGGCAATATCCCAGTTCCTCTCTGCCTCCCTGAGCAAGACCTCTATCTGGATGGTGGCAAGAGGTGACCAACTGTGTCCCAGCATCAGCCTAAACACGGGACCTAGAGGATCCTTTTACAATGCAAGGTGAGCTCACTCTTTTTCCTGCTGAGAATAGGTCTCCCTATGTTACCCAGGCTGGCCTTGAACTCTTGGACTCAAGCCAGCCTGCTGCCTCAGCCTTCCTGAGTGGCAGGGATTACAAGCACACACTGCGAAGCGCAGCTTGTTAGGTAACTCTTCTGCTCCAGTGCGAGGCTTCAATCTCAGCGACTCCACGTCAGCCACACCTGGTCCTGTAGGGGCCACATCAGGTGAGCGTAGGCATCTGGGTTCTGAATGCCTCAGGACCACCCTGCAGCCATCAGCCCCCCATGCCTGTCCATGGGAACCCTGCTGCTCACCAACTGGGAAATCTGTTCCTGCAGCCATCAAGGTTGGGGATGGCTGCTTTTGGTCCACTGGCCTGCTACATACTGAGCACATCATTCCCTTCCATAGTATATCTGTCCCCTCCCTTTTGGGGCTGCTGTCCCTTTGGCTTATCTTTTGTTTTTCTTTTGTGGGGAGCCACAGGGAACAATTTTCTTTCTCTCCCCAAAACAGGGCTTGCGCAATAGGGAGATGGGAAGTGGCCTTAAGGGAGTGGTTTCTCCAGGCCCGTGCCAGGCAGGAGTGAGCGGTTCAGAGAGAAGCAGAGTTATGCAAGCGGAGCAGCGGTTCCTCTATAGGACACGGGCTTTGTAAGAACCAGAACCAAGTTTCTATGAAATCACCTGAGAGCTCTATGATTTTTTTTTGTTTTTTAAAGACAGGGTCTCCCTGTGCAGCTCAGGCTGGCCTTTGAGCTCACTTTGTAGCCCAGACTGGTCTCGAATGCACAATGATTCTCCTGCCTCAGCCTCCCAAGTGCTGGAATTACAGGTGTGCACCACCATGCCTCAGCTGAGAACTCTATGTTAAAAAAATACGAGAGGCAATGCATGGCAAAATAGACTCATGTGCGAGTCAGAGGTGGCCTGCAAGGACACAGAAGCAACCTGGGGCTCCGGTTGATGGGCTGCAGCCACAGAGCCTGGAGGGGCCTGGAGGGGAGGGAAATAGGCACAAGCTTAGTGGGGCCACGGCTGTGGGAAAAGGCAGTCTTCAGGGGACAGGATCTCTGCACAGCAGGCAGAAAGTGACATCTTGGTTTGCTCTGGATAAAGCCACCAACCTCCTCCTGTTTAGCTCTGAGGTCTGAAGGACAGTCCTGTCTGGTGCTAAGTGGAGGAGTGTGTCTGCCACGTAGCTCCTCCCTGGCCTCTGGTGGCACTGCCAGCCAGGCCCCCTGGTGGCGGTTCAGTCTGGTTCTTCCCATCATTGTTGGGGTGCAGGGAAGCACTGTTTCAGGTGGGGATCAAGGGCTGGAGAGGGGTGCTCATGGCTGAGGTGCTCCCTTCCTTGGTGTCTGATGACATGGTGGCGCTCCACCAAGGGGTGCTCCCTTTCTTGGTGTCTGATGACAAGATTGTGGTGACTCAGGGGACATAGCTGCAGCAGCCGTGACCAGCTGAATACTTCATTATGGGCTGTGGGCAGGGAGGGGCCTCAGTAGGACAGGCACTCGGCCCAGGTCCTGATAGGACAGACCCTGGGCAAAGCCACCTCCTTCCCTGTCTGAGCTGCTGGCTGGAGCTGGGGCTTTGTGGAGTGGGTTGGGCTTAGCAGGTCTCCAGGAGCCGTGGAAGTGGCAGTCACCTGTAGGAGGCTCTGCCAATTCTGAGGGTTGGGTGGGCCTCTCTGAGGTGCTTGGAGTGGTGGAGTAGCTCCTGGGTGTGTGTGTGTGTGTGTGTGTGTGTGTGTGTGTGTGTGTGTGTCTTTGAGCTCTGTGCCCTCCAGGCCTTTCCTCATCCAGATTAATGGGGACTCAGCCCTTCTCATGCAGTGTCAGGTGCAGGTTGGAACTGGGGAGGAGCCACCCTTCCTGCTTGCCCTGGGGGCACTCTGCCTGTAGCTGTCCCAATAATGGACAGATGAATGGACAGAGGGACCATGACTTCCCTCCCACTTGGCTGCCTCCACTGCTCCTGATGGGGCCTCACCGGAGCTCTAGGCTCAGTCTCCCTCCCTGAAGGACGCATGGCCTCCTACTGCACCTGGGTGCACTGCTTCCCCTTGGGTCTCTCTCCACCTCCAGAACCCACCTGTGGCTTCCTTCTGGGTGCTGAGCCCCAGGATGGATCTTAGCTCTGGCCAGCAGCCTGAGGTCCTGTTCCTTTTCTGCCCAGACCACCCGGCCCCTGTGTGCCTGCTACCTGGCCCTCCAGGAGCGCTGCACGTGTGCAGAGGTGAACTGCAGCCATGCACAGAGTGGCTGCGGGGTTGGCCTTACCTCAGCCTGAGTGAAGTTGACCAGGGCCTCAGAGGTACTGCCCTGCTTGGTGTGGAGCAGCCGGCCAAGCTGGGGGCCATGAAGCACTCGGTAGAGCAGGTGTTGGGGGTCGGTACCGGAGCTGGAGCTGGCACTGAGGCTGTGGCTGCTGAGTGGCTGGATGGACTCTGAGCGAGCGAGCGAGCGAGCGAGAGAGAGAGAGATGGATGGACAGACACTGTGAGTTATGACCAAGGCCTACAGCCCCTCAGGGACAGTATGACCCCTATGGGTGCCGTTGGCTCTACTCAGTGGCTAGGCCCACCTGGACAGACAGTCAGCGTGCGGGTGCCTTCCAGTGACAAGTGCACTTGCTTCTGGGCCATCACGTGGAAGAAGTGGCCTGAGGACACATGCTTGCCATCGGAGAGCTCAAAGCGGAAGCCTCCGTCCAGGGCTCCTGGAGACAGCGAGGGGTGGTTGGGCCCTGCTGCCTGGCATGGAGCCCACCCTCCAGAATCCCAAGGTTTCTGTACTCACCTCTGTGCGAGAATAGCACCAGTCCAGCGTCCAGCTGGGCCTGGTTGAAGTGGTGGACCTCGGTGCCCGGCGCTGCACGCAGCGCCACATGCCCGTTGCTGGGCTGCTCAATGGTGTAGATCAAGTCCTCGGGTCCTGAGTCGCCATCTGTGCCCCGCAGGGCCTCGACAGGAATGGGCACGGTGGTCCCCTCCCATAGCTGAGGATACAACCTGTGAGGCTCCCACCCCTCCCCCATTTCTTCCATGTCTGTGCCACCCTGGGCTGCCCATTGTCACCCCAAGGCCCTGCCTGTCCTCCAGGCCATCTGTGTCCCTTCATCTGGGAAGACCTTTGCTTTTTTTTAAAAATGTATTTAGTACTGGGTCCACAGAGTCTTACTACACAGATCAGACTTGTAGTGATTCTCCTGTTTTCAGCCTCCCAAGCACTGTGTTTTGTGTTTTGAGGCAGGGTCTCAGTATGTAGCTCAGGCTGGCTTTAAACTTGTGATCTTCCTGCCTCAGCCTCCTGACTGCTGGGATTATAGGTGTGCGTCAGCGTGCGTGGTTGGAAAGGCCTTGCTCCTACCTTCACCAACCTCTCAGCCCCGAGACCCCAGCCCTGACCAGCAGTGCTGCTCAGCTTGGCTGTTTCATGGGCAAGACGAGGTCTTCTTGGAATCACCAAAGGGGTGTTGGCTATGGTTTGCCCAGGACACAGAGACCTGGTCTCCTCGCAATGGGAGGAGGGCAGAGGCTTGGAGAGCAGAGGCTTAGGGCTGTCCTGTGTGCAGTGAAGGAGGACCTGCAGGCCTCCTACCCACAGCAGCATGCTGTCCCTGGGTTGCGCTATGTGGCCTGCTAGCACAGTCCCTTAGGGGCCCTCACCCAGGAAACAGCCCAAGGCTCCTCCCTCCTACTGCTAGAAAGTTTAAACCCGCAGGGGAAGCAAACACGGGTGGATGGCGCCACCTGGTGTCCATATGTCCGCACAGCAGCCTGGCTCTGGTCCCAGGCAGCATTTAACCCGAACTGCATCCTCTGCCCTGTGGGAACCTCTCACACTATTATGCACGCAAATTTGGTCAAGCCATACCCACTTCTGTTCCACCAATGTCTACTTTTGTGACTATGGGGTTCTATTCTCTCTGGATAATGGGATGCCCCTGAGTCACAGTGAATAGTGGGAGAAGATGAAGAGTGCAGGGGATTGTCACTGGAGGTGGAGGTGGGGACTACGCTGGTCCCCCCACCCCCAGAAATTATAAGAGACTTTTCCAGGCGTGTTGGTCTTGAGCCATAGGAAAAGCTGCCTTCTACAGGTGAGTCCAGTGAACAACAGGGCTGCGTGTGGCCATTCATGAAGCTGCCTATTGCCCTCGTAAGTACCCAATAAAACTCCCTCAAACCTCTCTTTCCACACTTCTTCCAATAACTTGGCTAGGCATGTGGCAGCAATCCTACTTTTCAGGGAAGGAAGCTGAGGCCCAGAGAAGACTGGGAAGTAGGGGATCCTGGCTCTGACCTAGGAGCTAAGATTGATGCAGCCTCGGGGTGCTCTCACCTGCATGCCCGTATTTGTGGTGAGGACAGGTGATTGGTCATTAACAGGCAGGATGGTGACGGTGAAGGTCAGTGGCTGACTCTGGCGGTCCATCTCCGAGGCATTGGCCACCAGGACAAAGCTGTCGGTCAGGGTCTCGCTCCCATCGTGCACGTATCGGATCTGCTGCTCCTCCACCTGAAGACGGTAGGGGGCGCTCAGCCAAGCACCCATGTACCCTGCTCTGGCTTGGCGGCCGAGTTTTTATTTGGGGGGGGGGGCAAGGGGCGGGGCATATTCTGAGCCTCTGTTTGCATGGGTGGAAAGGGGAAAACAGTCTACCCCCAGAGGGGCGCAGAGGACGCTGTGGGCTGCTCCCCACACGTGGCCCCGCCCCCGCCCCAGTGATTACAGCGGGCAATACCATGCTCATGGGAAAGTACCTCTCTCCAGGAGAAGACATCGAGGGACCCGTCTCTGGGCTGCTCCTCCCTCTGCAGGGCTCCGTGGTGGGGCGGCTCCAGTACCCGTAGGTCGAGGCCGGGCAGAGTGGGGAAATAGGGCCCAGTGACTTGGAGCAACGGCGGGGCCAGGGTACGGGTACCGCCTTCGGGGACGGTGAAGTTCTGCCCCTCCAGGGGGACAGTGGTGGGCAGCACCTCCAACTCCATGCGGATCCCCTCCAAAGGGGCACCCAGTCCCGAGGCCACGTCCAAGGTGAAGGTGTCGCTCCAGGACCCGGGGCGGGAGTGCAGGTAGAGGACCCGGCCAGCGGCTACGGCCTCCTGGGAGAAGCTGGGCACTGGGGCCAGGCTGGGCGGCCCCGCTGCCGTGTGGGACATCATCAGGTAGCCCGAACTCGGGGGGCTCCTCACTGAGAACATGATGTCTGCGGGGGCTACCCCCTCCTGGTCTGCCTGTCAACAGGTATCACAGAGGAGACTGGTCATGACCCCAACTAGCAGGACCAGCTGAACTTCCATGCTCCGCCCTCCGCCGGCGCTGCTGCTCACACACAACACCCAGACACACAGATCCCATTAATACGCGCGCGCGCACGTAGGCTCCCTGCTCCGGCTGAGATCCTGCTATTCCACATTTTTACCACCAGAGGGCACCCGGCTCTTCCCCATGGCCCAGGCTCCTCTCTTGCGAACGGCCCAGATACACACCTAGCTCCCGCCCCAAAGCTGCTGGGTGGGCACTCTGTCCTGGATGGAACATGGAGCCATGGGAAAAGGTTACCGACCACCACTGGACAACGTTTCAGACTCTGTGCCTCTGTCGTCACAAGCTCTGGCCTTTAGTGCCATACTGTTCTCTGCCATGAACACCTGTGTTTTTCAAAGCCCCCCCTCAATCCTGTCTTTCTAGGGTAAGAGCTGCCGGACACCAGGGGTGTTGTTGGTTATGTTCTGCTCAGAAGTCTAGACACTGGGGACCAGAAGGGCCTCAGAAACTGGCAGAGTGACAGCTGCACACGGTGGTGCACTCCTGTAACCCCAGCATTCTGGAGGCTGAGGCAGGAGTTGTTGTGAGTTTGAGGCCAGCCTAGACTATATATCAAGACTCTGATTCAACAAAACAAAACAACCAAATGAACAACAACAACAACAAACAACAAACAAAAAGAGCTGGCAGGTTGGGAGAATAAGGGGGCTGGCCCAAGGTTGCCCGGTCAGTCATGGAGCCTGAAGATGGCTCAGTGGCTCCATGCGGTTCCTAGGTGGTTAAAGTCCCTTATACCACCCTGCAGCCCTAGCATGTGGTCTAGAGAGATCTGGGGACACCATGGTCTGCATGTTTCCCACAGTACATGTGTGGGTGGTACCTGATATCCAGAGGCAGATGTGTGTGGAGCAAATTCCTGAGTACTCAGGTTCCACAGCACATACAGGTGCAGACCCAGCCATACTATGGCACACCCCAGACACCCAAGCACGCTTGGCCAGAGCCAGGGACCCAGTCACTCCCTCCACTCCTCACCTCCAGCTGGTCCTGTTTGATCTCAGTCGCCTCCCCCTGGAAGACGTAGATCTTCTCATGCCGAACCAGCTGCAGCGGTGCTGGTGGACTGTCAAGGGCAATGGTCACTTGGAGGGTGGCTTCTGTGTGTACCGGCCCTGCCTCCACTGAGAGGCCCAGCATGTCGCGGGGGCTGGTGCTGCCGTTGTGGCTATAGAGGACAATGCCATCCAGCAGGTCCTGCTGGGAGAAGGTGGTGGCTGGCTGACCAGCGCGGAGCAGCTGCCCCCAGCGAGGGCCACCTGTGACATGGTAGTGGACCTCGTCTCCACTACGGATGTCCAGGTTGGTGTCCAGAGGGAGAACAGTGGTGTCAATGGTGCTCTGGCCTCCCTGAGGGACCACAAGGCTGGAGCCGTTGGCCACATGGAGGAAGGGTTCTGAAGCCTGCACCTCGAGCATGGCGGTGGCCTGGTGCTGCCCATCGGACACCTGCAGCTGCATCCAGCCATGGTCGGCCCCTGAGTGCACAAAGAGGACCCGCTTCTTCCTGAGGTCCTCCTGGGTAAAACGGTAGATGGGCCGTGAGGGCTCATCCACTGCCACGATGCTGCCGAACAGGAGATCCTTGCGGGTCAGCACTAGCTGGGCGTCAGAAAAGCCTGAGTCTGCATCACTGAAGGCCACATCCTCTGTTGTCAGCAGCCGCCGCCCACCACGGGCCACATGGAACACATGGCTAACAGTCTGCACAGGGGCGTGGTCATTCACTGGCTGGATGGCCACTTGGAAGACACCTCGAACTTCCTCCCAGGCCATGTCGCCACTGCCCTCACCCTGGCGAGTGGCCACAAATGGAATGTCATCTTCAGTGGTCTCAGAGTCATCGTGCTGGTAGAGCAGTCGGCCGTGCAGCAGGTCTTCATTGGTGAAGGATGTCACTGTGGTGGCCTTGTCCCGTGGCTCCCGCCACACTAGCCGCCCATGGCGGGGCCTTTCCATAACCTCATAGAGGTAGCTTGTACTATTGAGGCTCTTGACAAAGAGGTGGTCAGCAGAGAGGATGGCCTTACCACCCTCGGGCACGAGGAGGAGGACGTTGGTGAGGACAGGAGCATCAGGGTCACCACCAATGTGGATGGGGAAGGTGTAGAGTGGGGAGAAGTGTGGTGGTGCTGTGACACGGAAGTGGAAGGCATCCTCAATGGCCTCGGAGGTTCGTGCTGTGGCTGCATAGGTCACACGCCCAGCCTGCACGTCCTCCTGGCTGAAGCCCTGGCCAGCTGACAGCCTTATACCCTGAAGCTGCAGATTCCCTTTCCTGGGAGCCTGGACCACCTCGTAGTGGAAGCTGCCGGAGCTTGGGCCAGCCGACTCTTCCACGGCAGCCTCCAGATGGGCCGTGGTGAGGGTCTCTGGCTGCGTGGTCTGTGTGTGCAGTGGCTCCAGCTGCAGCATCCACACAGTGGCCCTCTGGATGGTCACCGGGAAAGACAGGTTGCTCAGGGTCTCCTGGCCCACCTGCACCTCCAGCACTAGGCTCTCCACAGTGTTCTGGGCACGGTGCTGGGGGTCAGTGCTCAGGTACCGCACACGGCCCTGTTCCACGTCCTGCTGGTGGAAGGCCTGCGTGGCCCACCACTCAGCCCCTTCCGCACCACCTGCCCCTTGCTTCTGTAGCTCCCCAAACTGCAGGGCACCCACAGCACGGAACAAAACACTCACATCCTGCCCCACAGCGTTGGTCTCCACTGAGAGGTTGGCAGGCAAGATGGGTGCGGCAGAGCCCTGTGCCAGGTGCAGCCCTGTGCTGTGGCGAATCCGGATTGCTGGCCGCATGGCCACCACGTTCAGTGTGGCAGGGGGGCTTGCCTGCAGCCCATCACTCACACGGAATGTCAGGGCCTGTGCGGGGCCACCACGGTGGACATAGATGATGTCGCCTGCCTCCAGCTCGCGGCAGGAGAACTCGGGCACTGGCTCCCCAAGGCGATCCCGGTGCTTCACTGGGAGCCCAGCTAAGTCTCCCAGGAGCTGGAAGGTGAGGCTTTCGCAGGCAGAGTCTGGGTCATAGGCTTGGAAGACCTCAGGCCCCAGGGGCTTCTGTGTGTGCTCCAGGATCACCATGAGGTTGCCATTCGGGAAGATGATGCGGGGTGGGTCATTGGCAGGGTTGACCTGCACAGGCAGCAGGTAGGTCTGGCCCCGCCGCAGGCAGGAGGGCACAGGCACCCGTGCTGTCACAGTCACCTCCAGCACCAGCTGGTCGGCGGGGTCCTCAGCACCATCATGGACAAAGCGGACTTTGCGGTTGACCACATCCAGCAGGGTGAACATTTGCCGTGCTCGGGCGCCTGGGACGTCGAGCTCCAGCTTGCCGTGTCGTGCTCCCCGGGTCACGCTGAACAGCACCTGCGACTTGCGCAGCTCGGCCTCCTGCAGGTCTAGTGTGGGTTGCACGTGCTGCCACTCCAGCCAGGCTGTGCCACCCTCAGCTACCACCAGTGGGCTGATGGTCAGCAGCTGGGTGAGGTTGGAGAAGACAGGTGGCAGCCCTGGTTCGGGCGTGCATGGCTCAGGCAGCTCCATGGCTGGCCATGCCTCAGGTGCCTGGGTGGACAGGGCCTCGTAGGAGCTGTAGGCGTCGTCCTCATACTCGTCTTCATCCAGCCTACAGCCGGCTGCCATGCCACGGGTCAGCATAGCATGGAGGAGGCCCTGCCGCTGCCCATTGATGCTCAGATCCTCCAGGCAGCCCAGCAGGGAGGCATTGGCTGTGCCTGGTGCCAGGCCCAAGCGGTGTTCCTGCAGGAGGCGGGTGGCCTCTGCATCCAGTCCCCCGAGGAGGAGGCTGCCATGTGGCTCCAGGTAGTTGAGGGCCCCACGGTTCGAGGTGCGTGTGGGGTACTGGTCCACGGAAATCTCCAGACGGTGGGCATCTATGTGGACACTGACCTCATGGGGCTGCCCATCGTCCACAGGGACACTGTTGTGCAGCAAGACAGTACCCTGGCCCTTTTCCACTACAGCCCGCAGGTGCCCCTCGAAGATGTCCACGTAGATGAAGTCTCCACGCTGGCCCCCTGCCTGGAAGGCCAGGGGTGCATGCCAGCTTCTCGTGGTAAGCGTGAATGCCAGGGTGCCCTTGTCCTGAGTGCTCCAGGCAGGGAAGGCCGCCAGTGAGTGGGGCCCAGAGAAGCCCAGGGCCATGTCATCCCCAGCTAAGAACTCCTCAGCACAGCCCTCTGTGATGTCGGGGGTCAGCGGGCGGAGGAGGCTGCGGCCATTGAGGGTGGCAGTGAAGAGACAGCCCCGCAGGGGTCGGCTGGCCCCTACCAGGTAGGGCAGGCTCAGGCTCCCAGAGCCCCCAACAAAGAGCCCATAGGGGACATCAAGGGGGCCTTCTGGGACTAGGCCAGAGGCATTGAAAAGTCCATCAATGAATAGCTCAGCTTGGCTGTCTGAGACAGTGAGCGCCACAGAGTGGGGGATGGAGTCATTCAGCAGTAGCTCCGCCAGAGTCTGCAGCCTCAGCTCCTCCTGGCCCAGAACAAGTCTGACCTGAGAAGACAGCAGATGTGGGCTCGAGGTGGCACTGTGAACCTGTCACCTTCCTGACATAGGCACCATGGGTCCCCGGTCTATAGGGTGTGACTACACAGATCAGACTTGGACTGATCTTACTGTTTTCAGCCTCCCAAGCACTGGGATTATAGGTGGGTGCCACCACACCCAATCTCAGTCGCTGTCTCAGCACACCCTGGGGGCAGGACTGACACAGCACTCTGGGGATCAAACCCTGGTCCCTTTAGTCTGCTGAGCTATCTGGCTGGCCCTGCCATATATTTTGATCATACTTCATATGTGCTAGGGATGTGACTCAGTGCTAAGCACTTGCCTAGCATGGGTGAGGCCCTGGGTTCAACTCCAATACAAAAAAAAAAAAAAAAAAAAAATCAGCTTGTACATTAAACTCCCCTAGAATCAAGGAAGTTCTTCCTGGGATGTTCTCCAATGGGCCTCTGAAGGGGCAGAATACTGTGAGGCCATGAAAGGCCCAGGCTCACTGCTCAAGGATGGGGTTGTCAGATGATCCGCGTTTTAGAGTTTAGCACAGAAGAATTTTCGAGCCAGGGCAACTCAGGAGTGAGGCTTGCCTGACGTGGGGGCCCCCAGGTTCAAAAGCAAAACAGAGATGCTCCCTTCTTAGGAGGCAGATGTTGCTACCAGAACTGGCTCCGGAATACCTCTCAGACTGTAGAAGGGGTGGTGGCAGAACTATCAAGCTGGGAGCGGGAGGGCAAGCACCGAGCTCTGAACAGTGCTCCTGGCACCCAGAGCAGAGCTGGGTGGCCTCAGTGCCAGGCTGTACCAGGCCTGTGCCCAACAGTGATATCTACTGACTGTGGGCCCAAACTGCAGCAGTGGGCTGACCAAGACCGCAGTTCTGTTCCACTGGATGTGGAAGGAAGCAGGTGGTTCCCCCAAAGGGACACAATGCTAGGGGGATGCCCAGGAGCTCAGGAGGGGGGACGTAGGCCAGTGTCCACCACTAAGGAGGGGTTGTTCACACAGAGACACTGAGGATGGGCAGAGGTGCAAAGGCCAGGGCCAGGGCCAGGGAGCCATTCAGGGCCCTTGGAGCAGAGTGTTGGCTCAGGATTGGGGTGATAAATAAGACTAATTTATCACATTTCCTGGAATCCACCATCCTCCCATGGTGGAGAACGTAAGACCTCAAGATGGCATCTAGAAGCCAGAGGAGGTCCCCTGAGCCCATCCCTGGATGGCGCTGACCTGTAGGCGTCCTTTGTAGAGCTGCAGCAGCAGGTGATCATTCTCCCCAGCTGCCAGAAAGAGCAGGGCCTCGGGCTGGGCCGTGGAGAACTGCAGCTGCAGGCTGATATTAGCCAGGGCTGTGGCCACAGGTACTTCCAGGTGGCTCTCGCCGAAGAAGGAGGCTGGGAATAGAGGGATATGGTCAAGACTCGGATATGGGCTATAGGGAGGGGCTTGGACTTATGATCCCCAGGGTTCTCCTGGGTGGCACTGCCTCTGGATACCAGTTGGTCACAGCTACAGGCTCTGGAGTACCTGGCCTCAGTTCCATGCAGCCCAGATCTGGCTGAGAAGGTACTGGACCCTGACATTTCCATCAGCTCAGGTCTCCTTCCTGGAGGTTCCAGGGGCAGAGAGCCCCATTACTTCTCTCTGGGTCCCAAGAGAAAGTCATCCTCGGTCTGGTCACCTGTCAGTGGTCACAGCTCGCAGGAATGGAGATGCAGGATAATCACCCCCAGACACACTGGTCTCCATGCACACTCCCCCTGGGGGTCCTGCTGTGTGGCCTCCCAGGCGCCTTGGCCAGGCTGTGCACCACTGCCATGGTCAGCCAGGCCTGTGGAGGTATCTGGCGGTGGTGCTCGGACAGGTGGCCCCCACTGCCATCCTCTAGCTGCTAGGGGCAGGCTCAGGTCTGTGTATGTTAAGGAGCAGGGCTTGGAGGCCAAATGGAGACCATGTACAGCATCAGGCCCTAGACAGCCTGGACTTCCTCCATTCTCGGCTATTGCTTCCTGCTGCAGGCTATTGCCAGTCCCAGGGGAGCAGCCAGATCCGGCCCCTTTTCCACCACAGCCAAGGAGACAGGGATGAAAACCCTGGAGTTCTTCCTTCCCAGGCCAAGCTCAGGCCTGGGAGGGGGCGGGGGTCCCTGGGCAGCCACGGGGCCTCTGCAAGTCGCAGGGCAGTGCTGGGTCAGCCTGGGCGGGTGAACACTGGGGAGGCTCCTCGATACAGCCCCTCCTTTGAAGTTGCTTCTTCCTTTAAGCAGCTTCCTGAAATCAGCCCCCTTCATCTCTAACACGCTGCTATGGTTCCTGGGTTCATCCTTTTCACAGTGATTAGAACCCAGTATAACCCTGCCGGCCTGCAGGTGGCAGGGGCTGAGACAGACAAAGGGAGACTCATCCCCATGTGTTTTCCTGGAGCCCCATGAGCGGTGGTGCAGACTGCTGGCTTTGGTAGGGACTGTCTGGCATTGGCCGTATGCATGCTGGTCTCTGGCCAGCCAACGCCAGCTGACATCCGCCTGAGGAAGTGGCATGCACCTTCCGTGCTCCGGGGGTACCATCCAAGACTCCCCTTTTCCCAGGCCGGGTTGAAAGCCCCTGTAGCACCTCCTCCTGTCAGACTGGGAATGATCTTACCACGTTTATCTGGGAGCTAGAGGGGGCAAATAAGAACTTGGAACACCAGGGCAGATGCAGCTTCTGGCCAGTACTCTGGGGCCACAGGGGCAGACCCTGGGCCTGCAGCTGGCAGATGCCTTGTCTGCAAGGTTTCCATTCCTTTTCTTTTTTGAGGCAGGGTCTCACTATGTAGTCCAGGCTGGTCTCAAACTCTCAGTGACCTTTCTGCCTCAGCCTCCCATAGTGCTGGGATTACAGGCCTGCAGCACCATGCCTGGCCCAAGGTCATTGTTTTATTTTATTTATTTATTTATTTATTTATTTATTTATTTATTTTTTTTTTTGGCGGAACCAGGGATTGAACTCAGGCCCTTGCGCTTGCCAGGGAAGCGCTTATTCCACTGAGCCATCTCCCTGGCCCCATTGTTTTATTTTAACTGTAGACCACCGCATGCTTAAGGATGGAGGACAGGACACAGTTGGAGTGCCAAGTGGCTCCCAGAAGCTGGTGAGAGGTGACTGCCCCAGGGACTTGGGAGCCAGGTGATATTGCCCACAGTGGGGGCTGTATACCTGGGAGTGAGGTGGACATGGTACAATGGGGCTCCCCCAATCCCAGCAGACCTGCCTATCCCTCTTCACATACCCTCATCCCCAAGGTGGGTGTCTGCTCTCTAGAACAGGGCTGGAGTCAGGCGCTGGGCCAGGCAGGAACCAGAGTCACTGGCTGCTCTAACCACTGACCCACCCATCCCGCCCTTAGGGGAGAAAGCGGAGGTCTGTTTGGTCTGAGTGGGGAGGGAGGCAGGAAGCGGGGGGCTTTCCAGAGAGCTGGGGTCTGAATGGGCCCATTGAGGGACTAGGTCCTGATGCTTCCTGTGGGGCTGGGCGGGCCAGGCTCACACTGGCGGCCTTGTGCTGCTGGAGCAGGTCAGGCATCCCCTGTCCCCACACAGGGCCAAAGCCCCGCTGGCTGGGGTTTTGGAAACTCTGACAGTGCTGCTCCCTGCCTCGGTTCTCCTTCTGCCCCTCTTACCAAGCAGGGTAGTAGACTAGAGTCACAAAAGCCTGTCGTGAAGGCAGAGGTAGTTGGAGGGGACTGTGAATGCAAAGGGAGGTGCCGGATAAAGAAGTCAATCTTTGGAGGACTTCCTGGAAGAGACAAGGGTGGCAAGGAAGAAAAGGACTAGGTAGTCTCTGAGGTGGGCAAGTGAAAGGTCTGCAGGGACAACCACCGAAACATCCACCCATTACCCCCAGTGGCTTTGAATGCCTTGAAATAGAGAGAAAAGTAGCCCAGGGCAAGCCAGATGGGGGCCATGGGAGGAGCTGGGCTGGATGAAGCCTGCTGCCACCTCTCCAGGCTCAGTAAGAGTTATACTTCCTTAAGGCTCCAGTGTAGCCTGCAGCAGCTGGAAAGTGGGTACAGTCTGGACCTCAGTGATACCGTTCTGAGAAATGGGCCCTCTATCTGTGACTTGTCTTCCTGTCCATGAGAGTCCACCCTGGGGTCCCTGAGGCTGAAGGCCTGAGGTGCATCGGTGGGATGTAAACCTTTGGCCTGGGCAGAACAGGACGCCCCAGTGCTGGGGACCAGGGGGAAAGAGAAGATGCCATGTGTGTGGTGGCTGCCTGGAGCAGGTACAGGGCATGTCTGTGGCGGTACACATGTGTGTGTGTGTGTGTGTGTGTGTGTGTGTGTGTGTGGCTGCTGGGTGTGTTTGGGGTTTGCGTAAGACTGTGTTTGTGCACGCGCGTGTGGGCCAGGCGCTGCTGAGACAGAGCTGTGATTGTGCACAGGCTGGGCCGGCTCTGTGAAAGGGGCCGTGTGTCCTGAAGGCGCCCGCCCAGGTCTGCAGAGGGAGGGGGCCCTGCTGTCTGGGCCCAGGGTGGGCGACTCTGTCCTCCTTCCGGAGTCCCTTCCCTGGCGACGGGGCCCTGTCGGGGCCCCTACCAGCTCCCCTCAGCAGGGCGTGGGGTACTCCCTGGGGATTCACAGGCACGTGGGGATGGGGACCTTGTCCCAAGGCCCAGGAGCCCCAAGCAAGAGGCTGGCTCCTTATGATACCCAGCCTGTGCCGTCAGCAAGCTGGTGAGACAAGAGGTCTCCGCGGGCAGTGCCTCTGCCCGACTCCCACCCTGGCCCCTGTGGCATCTTTTCCAGTTGGGTTCACCACAGACTCTGCTCTGCCTGAGTCCTGTCTCTCCTGTCTGTCCCACTGCTCCTGTCCCCATCTCTGCCTCTCCTTTTCCTACCCTGTCCTCCTTCCACCCCTTTCACCCCTGTCCTAGGGCAGTCTAGAGACCACGCTCAGATCCTCCCTGCCCTGCCTGGACCCCCACTCCCAGGATGCTGTGATCCCCAGTGTCAGTTTTCTGGGAGAAGCACTGCAAGGACAGCTGCAGAGCCTGGCCAGCCACTTGCCTATCACCCCATACCCATCTCCCCAAGGACCGATTCCTGGGTTCCCACTCTGGCCACCTCCAGGGATGCCAGGGAAGCTGGCATGTGTCATGACTGCATTCCTGGGTGTCTTGGCTGCCAGGCTTTATAAGGAAGAAAGTAGGAGGCAAGGCCATGGTGGGATGACTGCAGGGTGCCCAGTGCTCAGGAGAAGGGGTGCAGATGGGGGGACTGTGCTGACTAGTCGTTCATTCACTCCTAACTGCGGCCAGGCAGTGTGTGGGGATGCAAAGCAGAGGGAGGCCAGGGAAAGAGTAAGGCTGAGGAGGAGCAGAGTCCCTGGGTGCAAAGGCAGGAAGTAGAGCAGAGGAGGCTGAGGCGGCAGGGTGGGGTGTGCCTGGCCAGCCAGGTCTCTGGGAGCCGGATCCTCTGTGTGGCCTGGGTTTGGCACTGGGTGTTGGTCGGTCCTGCCTGCAGGCCAGGCGGTAGGGTGTGGCTGGGGCATGAAGGGCTCTCTGTTTGCCCCGCTGAGGGTGTGTTTGGAGGACACCTCAGGCTGAATGGCAGCTCTGTGCTAGCCCTGAGGTCACCTGGCCTCGGGACCCTCAGCCAGGTCCTTTCCCTGGGTCAGCCAGGACCTTCGAGGAGGTGGAAGGGGTGTGGACAGGCTTCTAGGCTGTGTGTGCCGCTCCTGGCCTCAGCTGGACAGTGAGAGATGCAGCCATGAGCCCCCAGGCCCTATGTGTCACTACAAGCTGTGTCGTGTGGACAGTGAGTGCAGGGGAGGTGGGGCGCACAGTCTGGCTCAGTACGGGGCAGGGCCCAAGGGCACCTTCCTGTCATGTAAGCTGCCACCCTGGGGCACTCAGCAAGGGTGCCAGCCCCTCAAAAACTCCTCCTCAGATCCCTGAGGCTCAGCCAAGCCAAACCAAGCCAACACCAACTCTCATTCTGACAGCACCAAGGGAAGGCTATGGGGGACAGACTTCACGTCAGAAAAAGGGACAATACAGCCTGCCCCAGGGTGACACTGTGGTCACCAAAGTTCAGGCCAGCCAGCTCCCTGCCTGCCAGAGTGGCTGCCTGGGAGCTGCCCTCACACCTGCAGCCTTAGTGATCATTGCTTTCTGCCATCCTAAACTCCTGGTTCCAAATGGGGTTCCTAAAACAGGGCCATCTCTACCTGAGCCTTGCTGGTGCTGGCCTCATAGCTGTCGTGTCTGAGCACAGGCAGATTGGTTCAGAGTCACCTGGGACACCAGGCCAGGTGTTTGAGGGCGAGGGCTGCAAGAACAAACAGGACTGGAGCTGGTGAGATGGCTCAGTGGTCTAAAGCACCTACTTAGAACAAGCTTAGCAAAGCCCAGGGACCGCGGTTCAATCCCCCAGCCACCACATGACAGCCAGCCCGCCCCCTGGTGGGCTGAGCTGGCCACACACACACACACACACACACACACACACAAATAAATAAAATTAAAAAATAAATAAATAAAAATAAAAATTAAAAAAAAAGAACAAACAGGACTGAGACCTCTGTTGGGTCATGGTGGGCCCATCTCTCCTCATCCCAGCAGCTCCTGAGCTATAAGACCCTCATCCCAGGCCTGACCTTCTGCTTGGTGCCTTTCTGGTGCCTTGCAAGGTCATGGAGCTCAGGCTCTGAGAGCAGCGTCCTCAGGTCTTGCCCTGGCCCTGGGCTCAGGCCTTGGCCATGGGTCCTCAAGTCCCCTACCCAAGGGCACATATTGGAGAACACTTCTGCACTGGGGGCCCCTCTGGAAGAGGAGGCCCCTGAGAGAGTTGGGGTGGGTGAAGTGGGAGATGGAGGCCCAGACAGACTGGCCACGCCCTGGGCTCCCTACCATGAGTTCCAGCCTGGGGCCTGGACACTGAGGAAGTGGGAGGCTGTGGTGGAAGAGCCCAGAGTCCATGGGCTGGAGGCGGAAGGGAGGAAGCCGCCTCAATGGAGGCTTTGTGAAGCCCATGTGGCAGGGTGAGCAGGGTGGGGCTCTGTGGTGAGGCTGGAGGCCAGGAGGCTTCTCCCTGCCATATAATTTACTCTTCACCAGGGTACATGAGTTTCCAAGCTGGTGCCATATTCTTTCCTTAGCACCCCAGGCCCTAGGGGTGTGGGTCCTGTATCCTTGTGGACCTGTTTAGGGAGGTTCACCCAGCCCAGGACCATCCTTCTCTGAGCCATAGCAGGTCCCATGGAGGTATCTCAGGGGAAACTGAGGCTCAGGGAGGGCCATCCTAGTGCAAGGCTTTCCTGGGAAGCAAGGCAGAGCTGAAGGTCACAGCTCCTGAGCTGTGTGATGTGGGTGTCAGTGAAGGGACACAGCATCCAGGAGTCCTGGAAGAGACGAAGCCGCCTCCTCCTTGATTCCCTATCTCACAGTTGGGGATCAGGTTTGGGATGGGAGGCACAGGCAGAGTCCCACTGACACTCCCAAAGGGTTCTCTGTCGGTCTGTCTGTCTCTTTCTTCCCGTCCTTCTCTCTAATCAGATGGGCTCCCATACGTACCCTTTGGCCTCAGCTGCTCTAGTGATGAAGGGTATCTACTTTGGATACTGGCCCATACCTAGACCCAGACCCTTCAATCCAGCTGCAAGTGGCTGGTAGAAAGTATGGTCACAGCTGGCTATGGTGGTACACCTAGCTGCTCAAGAGGCTGGGGCAGAAGGATGGCAGGTTCCAGACCAACTGAGACAACTTAGTGAGAACCTGTCCTGAAATGAAAACAAAATAAAACAAAGCTATGGCTGGGGACATAGCTCAGTGGTAGAGCACCCCAGGTCTGATCCGTAGTGCCAGGCTTACCACTAGAAAAGTTCCTACAAGGGGCCACCCTGGTCTAAATGGCCACAGGCATAGCTGGGTGGAAGCTCTTTTTTGGTACAGAAATCAAATCCAAAGCCTCGTTCATACTAAGCTATTCCCCACTGGCAGGAAGCTGTAAAGGACAGGACCTGGGTCTGTGTACCCTACCCAGTTCTGCTCATCCCAAGGTCAGGGACACTGCTGGTGGAAGAAGCATTAGCACCCAGGGGACGGAAGGGGCCAAGCAGAGTGGTGTCCTCCCTCTCCGGGGGGCAGTCTTCTGCCTCACAAAGCCACTGACCCCGTGCCTCCAGGCTCCCTCTCAGTCCAGATGTCCTCCTACAGCTTCGGGCACTGCCTCTTTGCTGAGGTACCTGCATCTCTGTCTCCAGTACCAGCCCTCGGGCTGGGCCCACAACCTCCTGGACCCCTGCACCCCTCCTATACCGCAAGCCTCAACTGGGATGCCCTTCCTTACCTGCCCAGAACCTGCAAGGGCCCAGGTCTCCACCTGGGTCTTCTCCTCCTCCTTCCCCATGGCCAGGGATGCCCACCTTCTGTCCTTCTGCCCCTATCCTCCAACTCCCTCTCCTTTGCCGCAGCACCATCTCGAAGGCAGATACTAGCATGTTCACCCTTACACACCTCCTGCCTCCCGATGCCAGGGGCAGCCGTCGTTAACCTAACCTGGCCGTTGTGTCATCCTGCCTGGCCTGGGCACACTTGGTGGCTCCCTATTGCTGTGAATGAGCCCTGAGCTCATCACCCAGAACAGAAGGCCCCAGGTGACCCTGCTCAGTCTTGCTAGGTTTTGGGTGAGGCCCCATCCATCCTAGGGACTCCTCAACACACTTTGGCCTTGCTGGGCACTCTGCTCCAAGCTCACCTTCTGGTAGGAGAAGCCCCCCCATCCCTATATCTGAGGCACTGACTCTAAAACTGGGGTGCAAAGACCTCCAGGCATGGCATGGGGACTGCACCATGTCCTCTCTCACTAATGCTGCCAGTCTTTGCATGGACAAGGGTGATAGGAGAAAGGACGGAGTCCTGCTGGGTGGACAGGGGAGCTGCCTGGCCCTCACCTGACCTGGCCCTGAGCTTCTTGCACTTCTTCCTGCCCCTCAGTCTCCTGGAACCCTTGTGCCCAGAGGCAAGGGCTGGACATAGTAGCTAGGCAGGGTGGGGACTAGCCCAGCTGGGAAGTGCTTTTCTGGGCTGTGGTGAAGAGTTTGATGCTTGTTTTTAAAGAAAATAGACTTGGAACCCCTATTTATAGCCAGAGGCTCCTGCTGCAGCCCAAGGCTGGTTTTGAGGCTGCACAGACCCCACTTGCAGGGCGGGGTAGCTGTTCCCAGGCCCTGTCCCCAACCCCTCAGAAGTGCCTGTGGGGTCCTGACTGTCCGGGGACAGGATGTAGCAGGGACCTGGGGGAGGGGATGGAAAATTTCTCTCTGACTGGTTCCTGGGGCCCAGAGTTCCATGTGGGAACCCATAGAGGTGGGGGCTGTTGTGTCTACGAGAAGGGCTGGCCATGGAGGGGAACTTCCAGCTGCATGGGCACTGGGAGAAGATGACAGAAACCAAGAGCAGGACCAGAGGCAGGGGCGGCAGAGAAGGAGAGATAGGGAGAGGGCAGAGATGGAGATAGGAACGCTGGGGGTAGGGTGGGCAGCAGGGCTGGGGACGATGAGATGGAGAGACAGGGATGGAGGAGGGAGACAGGAATGGGACAAAGAGAGACAGGGAGGGGAGGAGAGGGATGGGACAGAGATCTGGAGCCCCAGTTGGCATTGTGAGCAGGGGACCTAGAAGGGACAGGCCAGGCTGGGTCTGGGCTCAGCCCTCCTGCACTCTAGGCAGGTGGCAGAGACCAGGTTCAGTCCAGGTGAACAAGGGCAGGAGTCAGCCTCTCTGGCCTAGCCCAGAGCCCATCTGGAGCCCCTCTATGCCTGCAATTCTGTGAAACATGATCCCTAAAGACTGTTCTGGATGGGGAAGTGCACAGCCAGGATGCAAGGGGACAGCATGAGTCTCAGGTGGTGCCGAGACACAATCCCCAGGCCTGGGAGGCTGCGTGCCAAGGCCTGGCCAGGCTCACACCTGCTACAGCCCCTGTATACCCCCTTTCCTGGCTGAGCCTTTTAGGGGCCGTGGTGACAGCAGCTTAGGGTATGTGTCACAGAGCCAGAGCTACCACAGTGACTCAGACCGTTAAAAAAGGAGCAGCTTAGGGGGGAGCGCTGACTCAATCAGCTCAAGAGGGCTGGGTGGGTCTGGCGGGCATTGGATGGGGTGGTCTGGGCCTATTTTTGGCTGGGTGGAGCTGGGCCAGAGGTTGGAAGGGAGTGGGGGTGGGGAGGAGGGCAAGCCTCTGATCTGTGCCAACCAAGGGAAGTGGCTTCCCAATGCCAGGGAGCTCAGGCAACCCAACTGCCTCTCGGACCATCCGTAACCACCCTGCCCTTCTGTGTGGCCCAAATGAGCAGCAAAGCTTCTGTCTTGTTCTTGAGAGGGCACAGAATTTCAGAGCTCAGAGAGGGCCAGAGGTGCCTAAGGCCACAAGAACGGTGCCAGTGGCCATCAGTCCAAACATCTCTTCTGCCCCAAGTTGCTGGAGGACCTGGCCCCCATCCCTATGCCCACTCAGGACGACTCAGCTGGGGTCCAGATGGGTGGCCAGCAGCACACAGGCTGCAGATGTCAGCAGACAGAAATTCAGCTAGGCGCAGACTCCTGGATTCCATTAACGCATATCCGGGGAGCCGGCTGTGCCCTGCCCCAGGTCCATGCAGAAGCTACTGGGTGGGGGTGAAGGAAAACAGCTCATCCTAAGCCCTTGGCTCTTATCCAATGTCCCCCCCACGCCCCCGCTCACCCCCTTGGCGATCCTTTCTGGCACTCACCTCCCCCAACTTCCTCGACTGTGAGCTCATGTGCATCTGCAGACCTCAGGCAGCAACAACCCGGCAAAGCGTGGTCTTCATCTCTCTCAGTCTAGATTTCTGCTCCTCCTTACAATGCAGTCACCCCAGTTTACCAAGGGTGACAGTACTGGCCCCAGGGAAGCTCTAGCTGCTGTGTCACCTTGACTACAATCTGGATGTACAGGAGGGGGCCCCTCTGGGTTGGCAGAGAGCAAGGAAAGACAGCCTGTCTGTGACTGGGAAAGGAGAGCTGGTGCTTCCTCTTCTCCCCGCCCACCTGCTCTGGGGACAGGGTCTGAGTTTCCACGTGGAGTCCAGCCCCGAGCTCTCTGAGTCTATGCTTATGACCACTGTGCGCCTGGCTTCCTAGCTTCCTTGATGAGCTGAAGACGCGGAGTGGGGAGTAATGGGGGTCTGAGTCAGGGCCCAGGGCTGGAATGGAGCTCATGCGGGAGACTCCAAAATCGGTGAGCTGTTCTTTCCCTGGCCTGGCCGAGGCCGCCTTATTGGCCTCTTTGCAGGAGAGCAGCCTGGCTTGGGCCCAGGCTGCATACAGCCAAGGGCAGGGAGGGGCTGGTATCGTGGGAATCGGCATCCCAGGACCCTGATATTTATAGCTGCTGCCCCTCCTGACAGGCGGGTGAGCTGGACCGATCTTAGGTGGGAACGGAAGTAGCTCTCCTCTCCCCATCCCCTCTGGTCCCAGGAGAGCGGCCGGGGAGCTGAAGCCCCGCCCTGTCTGTGGGGCCCAGCCATATCCCCTTGGCTGGCTAATCGACTGGACCTCACTGGGTGTCAGACTGATCAAGGTCAGGCCCTGGATGCGGAGGGCAGGCAAATGGAGAGACCGAGGCAGGGCCCTGGAGGGAGGCAGAGGCCGTGGTCACAGAGCCCTCTGTGGTCAGAAAAGGCTCTGGCTGAAAGGCTAGCGTGAGCTGTGCACTGGGGGAAGGCAAGGCCAGGGACCCACAGCAGCTGGGACACAGGGAAGGGTCCTGGGATCACCGGTGACATGGATGGGGCGCACAGGCTGACACACTGGTTAGAGGAGGCCACAGCAGTGAGGGAATTATGGGCCCTGTAGCAGTGAAGGTGTGTGGTGGGAGGGGCCTGGCTGCAGGGAGGCTGGGTCATGGCTCCTGATTGCACCTTGGGAAGGACACCCCTGGGGACCCTTTGTGTCTTGATTGGGCTTCACTGAAAGCCAGGAAGCTTTCAGGATATTTTCATATATATTTAATATAAACCCAACACATAGCAAGGGGGCTGCGCTGCATGAATTGGGGTGGTCAAGTGTTCTTTGAGTGGGTACAGGCATGGGTCTTGGGCTCCTGGAGGAAGAATCTGAGGCCCCACTGAAGCCCATCCCTGTGCCCAGCAGTGCCCTGGAGGAAGAAGACAGGATTCTGTCCTTCGGAGCAGCTGGTCCTGTGGGTGAGGCACCTGCACCAGGGAATAGGTACAAAGTGCCGAGAGGCCCGGGGCCCACGATGGTAAAAGCTCACTGTGACTCCGGGCATGCAGCTGCTCCTCTGAGCCCCATTTCCCTCTAAGCCAAGGGGTCTTGGCTGTAAGGGTAAAGGCGCGGAGCTGGAGGAAGGAGCAATCAACAGGACAGCCACTGTCCCTGGCCAGGACTCCCCATGCCATCTCTGGATTGCAGCCACCCACATCTGGTCCTAAAGTGCCCCATTTGCTAACAAGCAGGTGGGGCTTTCTGGAAGGGCTTTGGGGGTGGAGTCTTTGGAGAGGCAGGGGACCCTGGCTGTAGGGACAAGGGGACAAGAACAGAAGTTACAGTGACTCAGGAAGCTGTCTGTCTCTGATCTGGAAAGGCCTGCAGGTGCTGGGGATGCAAAAGCACTGTGGCCTGTGTCTAGGGTATGACCTGAGGTGGGTCCTGCTTCTTTCCGAGCCTCTGTTTCCTCATATGGAAAGTGGGGACATCTGGCTCATAGTTCCACTGTGAGGCTCAGGACAGCAAGGCCAGTGCCCATGCCATGGGTGTTTCCAGAGCCCAGAGCTCCTCCCTGACAAGATGGCACCATCCTCCTGAGCAGAGTGGTGCAGGTGGTAGGGACCCCAACCTGACAGGATCCAGGCACTACGCTGTCCACACAAACCCAGTTCCTTCCAGGACAACTTGCACAATACTAGGACTGGTAGGGACCCAGCCAGGGTGACCTCCACCCTGCACCTGGGAGAAGGGTTTGGGATCTAGGGGCCAAGGAGAGGGGGGCCGGGGAGGGACCAAGCTCTGGTCTGGCCTCTTGCTCATAGGTCCTTAGCCCGAATAGGAACCCAACTGGGCACACTGTCATTACCTATCCTGCGCCAGGTTTGGAGAGGGCAGAAGCCTCTGGGTGCCTGGTCCCAGCCAGAGGGCACAGTGCGTGAGTAGCTGTGCCCAAGGCCTGTGTGCAGGTGCATGTGCGCCCACATCTCTGTGTGCCAGGAGGCTTCACTGTGGGGCTCTTTCCAACCTTGTACCTCTGTGGGCAGTATGCCCAGTTTCCAGTGCCCATAGCTACTAGCCACTGTCAGGTCCGTGGATCCCCCTCCCTGCAGGCGGGGCCCACCTGGCATGGTCCCCCAGGTGGCGGCACTGAAAGCCCCACTTGTCTTCTGGCTGGGGCGTCAGTTACTCTTGGCCTACGGCAGCTTCTCAGGAGTGTGGGTGGGCTGGGCAAGAAGTGGAGCAGCCAGGCTTACATGCCCAACGCTTGCAGGGTGTTCCTAAGCCTGTCCTCAGTGGCTCTGGTCCCTGAGCCATCTCCTGGGCAGCAGGGTCTGCCTTGGTTTACCTTCTTGAGCTGATGCTCTTGACCCTGCTCTCATGACCCACTTCCACGTTGTACAGAACCTCCTATCAGGCCTCTGATGTGTGAGTCTCCCCACAGGGTCTATTTTTCAGTCAGCCAGGGAAGAGGTGTGGGGAAGCACTGTCCCTGAGTGCTCTGTACTCATTCTGACCTTTTAAAAAACTTTTTCAAGGGCCACGGAGATGGCTCAGTGGATTAAGCGCTTCCCTGGCAAGCGTAAGGGCCTGAGTTCAATCCATGGTTCTGCCCCCCCAAAAAAACAAACAAAAAAACCCAAACAAACAAAAAACCTTTTCAGAAAGAAGCTCACTATGTTGCCAAGCCTGGCCTGAAATTTCTGTTTTTAAATATTTATTTATTTATTCATTTGGTACAGGGTCTCACTACGAAGCTCAGACTCATAGTGATCCTCCGGTCTCAGCCTCCCCAGTGTTGGGATTATAGGCATGTGCTGCCTTGCCCTGTTTCAGGGGCCAGCGTAGTGCACCTGGGGTTCTGAGGCGAGCACAGCAAGCAGTGCCTGGGATTGAACCTGGGTCCTTGTGCTTGTCAGTAAGGTGCTTAGATCATCGAGCTATCTCCTCAGTCCCTGGCCTGAAATTTCTGTGCCACAGAAAGAAAAGGATCCTCCTGCCACAGCCTCCCAAACAGCTACACGTGTGCTATCTCTCAGCTCACATCTACCCTGTTCCTTTCTGTGCTTGTTCCTTGCGGGAGCCACACATGGGAGCTGAGTAGCACTCACATGTCTCTCATCCACAGGGCTCTCCACGGTCACTGGGGTTCCTTGTGGGACTCAGCACACCCAGCTCTCTTGGGGGACCTGGCTTCCCGATCTGTCCAGCTGGGAGGTTGGCCTGTGTGGTTTCCAAGGCACTGGCTGTGCTGGCTCTCAACCTAGGCACCCAGGTAAAGACTGAGCCATCCTCAGGGTGGCCTGTCCCTGTGGCAGAGATGAGGACGGGGGACTGCACCAGGCGTAGAGACAGAGATGGGCTTGTCTGCTTGGCAGAGGGGAGAATGCCAGCCCTCTCACCCCTCCCCATTGCCAAATCCTTGTAAGGTCAGGGTTGGTTTCCTGTTCTAAACCTCCTAGGTGCCATGCTGAGCTTCTGCCCTAAGACCGCCATGGGCGCCCCACTGCCAACTGGCCACATCCTGCCATTTAAGGTCTTGGTGCCCCAGCCCAGGGCTTTCCCTGGTTCATGCTTGTAATATCTTCCAATCTCAGCACCCTCTGCTTGCCTACACCCACCCTGTCCAGGCTGAGTGCTGCCCGGATACCAAATCCTGTCTCATCTGCCACATCTTGGCTTAAGAGCCACCTTGGGTTCACCCTGGCTTGCTCCTGATTTTCAGATCTTTGCATTCACAAACAGGAATTGCTGTTGGAGTTTTATCTGCTTTTCTCCCTCTATAATGAATCCAGACTCAGCTTATCCATTTCACAGTGTTCACGCGCTACAGGAGCAGGGGAAGTGCTTGAAAATGAAGTGCAGGGGTTTCCCTCAGGTGGGGCTGAGGCTCGGCTTGCTCTGACCATCCCAGTCTCCTTGGACATCTTTCCCAATCTCTGGAGTCCACCCCTTATTCAGGCCCTGAGACCCAGCAGCAGGAATGGGGAGCTGGGTACCCAGCTGTGACTCATCCCCTCCTGGCCACCCTGTGATGCCCTCCTGTGGAACTGGCTGCCCGCTCTGATGGGAGCAGGGCGTGTCCCAAGTCCCTGGCAGGGAGACTCTGGCTCTCCCTCTCAGGAATGGTCCCAAGGACCAGGCTCAAGCCCTGATTCACATAGGGTAGGAATGACAGACAGGCCCTGAGGCCATAGATCCAGGACTAGACCGTGCCTGCCTCCCTGAAGGAAGAACACTGTAATGCTGGGATTCCTGGCACCGTGACAGAGGGGCCCAGCACCTCTTGGAGGGCAAACTTTAATTCAGTCTCTGTTGGGATCAGTCCTCATGGCTAAAGATAGGCAAGCCCAGCGAGGGTGCTTCCTGCTCTGAGGGATGAGGGGAATGTGAGGGGCCCCAGCCCTGCTCCTTCGAGGCTGAAGATTGGGTGGTCCTGCATGGCACCAAATGAGTTTCCTGAGGAGAGGGGAGGCAGCCAGCCAGGCCACTGGGAAAACCTCAGGGGGGAGTGGAGGGCTCAGGAGAGGGTGCTGCTGGTGACAGAGGCCACAGGAGGTGGCAGCCCAGGTGTGTGGAGGACATTTGAGCAGGGCAGGATGACTCTCTGTCCATCTCCACCTAGCAGTTCCCCCGTTTGAGGATGGTAGTCACTTCTCACTGTTGCTGGGTGCCCTTTCACACCAAGCCTGCCTGGCAACCACGGCTTAAGGGCACTGGGTGCCTGGAACATCGGAGGGCAGAGCCACTCCTCAGGGCACTGACTCTTGGGGCCCCATCACACAGGCTAGACACCTCCATAACCAGTACCCTGTAACTTCAGATTCAGAGCGTTCCCGGTTCACATCCTGCCCATCCTGAGGATCCTACAAACCCCTCCTGGGCAGGGAGAGGGTCTCAGTCTCGCACTCACCTGCAGATGCGGGTCCAGCCAGCAGCCCCCAAGTGAGAATCAGGACCAGGGTGGGCGCAGCAAGGCGCAGGCGCCACGGGCAGGGGCGCATCGCAGCAGCGGCGTGGGGATGTGGAACAGCAGGGAAAGCGGACCTGGGACAGTGAGCGCGCTCTGGGCCGCCGCGCACAGAGCTGGGGCGGGAGGCGCGGATCGTGCTTGGCGGCGGGGGCGGGGGCTCCCTGTCTGCCCCCACCCCCGACCTTCTTAAAGGGCCCGTGCTGAGCTGCTTCAGGATCAGGCCCCACCCTAGAGTCCTGGGACAAAGTCCCAGCAGGGTCCAGACTTCTGAGCACCGCGCACCCCTTCTGGGATCCCTAGACCCCCTCCTGGGAGGAGCCTGAGCTTTCCTTTTTCCTGCCCTGGCAGGGACTTCGGGGTGGCGGGGCTCTCCACACACTTCAAGCCTAGGGAGGAAGTCAGCTTAACTTCTGAGCCCCCAGAACCCCATACTATCTACGGAGGAACCCCTGCGGCCACTGCCACTTGGAGCTTCTCTGCCCCAAGGGTCTCAGTGTCCAGTCCACAAGAGACATCCGGACTCCCACAGGGCATCATTTGCCCCCAAGTCCCTCTGCAAGGTGGGTGGGGGCCTCCTGCCCCCCATGTTTGTAGGAGGAGGCGGGGAGTGGCTCTTGGGAACAGAGGTGCTTACAGACCCTGGAGGGAGGCTGTGTGTGTGTGTGTGTGTGTGTGTGTGTGTGTGTGGGGTGCATAAGGCGGGATCAGCTTTCCAGCAGGGGCTCCTCCCGAAGTCTGGCCCTGGATTTAGCTCCTACCTAACTGCTCCGGGCCTTCTCCTGGCACTGACCCAGCAGTAACTTCTGCGGGTCGGAGCAGGACTTGGAGAAAGGGCAATATTATTATCCTGGAGTTTCCAGTGCCTGGAGCTCTGCCTGCTTTCTGCCTGGCCCCAGTGCCTGCGCTGCCTGGCCTCCGTTTCTTTGACAGGGAGGGGATGGAAGAACACCCCCATCCCTCCTTGTTTCACCACTCAGACGCTGCTAGGCCCCACCCCTCCCAACGTGCACCCCTCTCGAGCCCCTCCTGGCCTAGCCACAGCCCTGCAGTACGTTCTACACTTTACAATTTGCAACAGAGCCCATTTTGCAGAAAAAGAAATTGAGGCAGAGAGCAAGGAACGAGGCCAGTGCACCAGCTGCCAGGCCCTGGAGTGGTTATGAGTACTGGTCTCAGATCCAGACAGACCTAGGCTCAAGTCCAAGCTCCGCCACTTGGCTTTCTGATCTTGACTGGGTCCTTTTGCCTCCTGTGCCTCAGATTCCTCATTTGTAAAGATGGGTTTATGAGGATAAAATGCTTTAAGGTACCTCAGTGTTTGACATACCATGGGTGCTCAGGAAATGTCTGTCCTTTCTCCCGCATACCCTTGCCTTGTGTTTTAGTTTATTTATCATCTATTAGTTTTTGTTTTATTATAGGATGCTTCACACATTTGGAGGTCCTACTTTGGCCGGGTCACTTTAATATCCACTGTATACTTCCAATTTTAGTATATGGGCTATTTTTAAAAAATAGGCATAGGGGTGAGATAGTTCAGTGGACTAAGCACCTGCTTTGGCAAGTGTAGGGACCAGGGTTTGATCCCTGGTCCCATATATCACGCCAGCCCCACCTTGTGGGGGGGATGTGGTGGCACATGCCTGTAATCCCAGTGCCAGGGAGGCTGAAAACAGGAGTATCATGAGTCCGAGCTGTGTAGTGAGACCTGTACCAAATGGAAAAAACAAAACAAAAACAGGTTTGCTGTATGGTCCAGGCCACCCCTAAATTCAAAATCCTTGTGCTTCAACTTCCCGAATTCTGTTTCATAGTTTAATTACAACTTTACACACATCTGTTCTTTTTTTATTTTATTTTATTTTATTTTATTTTCTTATTTTTGGCAGAACTGGGGCTTGAACTCAGACACTTGTGCTTGCTAGGGAAGCACTCATTGCACTGAGCCATCTCCCCAGCTGCCACATCATTTCTGTAGATGGGAGCTCTACTCCTTTGCAGAGGCAGCTGCATACAGTAGGTGCTCAATAAATGCCTGCCAGGGTTGATTGGTCATTCTGTGGGGATTTTGGCAAATTTCTCATCTGGGGGCCTTGGAGACCTGGGGCTGGAGCTGTGGTATGTTGGCCTTAGTGGCAATGAAGCTATCAGTTCCACAGCTTGTCCCTTGTCTCTCCTTCCCTGAGTCAGTGAGACACCTGGTCCTCGTTAAGGGCTAATTGTGGCCAAGTGTGTTGTGGGATGGGGCTGGTGGTTGGAGCCTGCATTGGGAGGATAAAGGATTTTATTTTCAGGAACCAAGAGGAGAGAAGACTTCTGTTTTTTTGTGGATCACAAGCTTGGGTGAAGATGTTCCCCCATCCGCCTGCGTCCTCCATCTTCCCTGATCCTTACGCAGGAGGCAGCTTGCACTGCCTGGAGTCTTTGTCTGTCTCCTGAGCTTTCAGACAGGAGCAGCTGCCCACATTTGGGATTCAAGTTGGGATTCGATTCGAGTTGGGATCTGTTTAGCGCCTCCCTGTCTTGTTGCTGGCCAGGCAGAGCACCAGAGGCCCAGGAAAAACTGTAACCGGTGCCATAGCAGGTTGCTGGGCCTTGCTGTTGGGCCTTTGCACCAGGGGAAGAGTGTGTGTGTGTGTGTGTGTGTGTGTGTGTGTGTTTGTCAGGGAGGACAGAACCACTGGTACAGATGAGAAAACTGAGACTCTCAGTGCAAAGAGGTTGCTGGGACTCCAGCTTGGCCTTTGTTCAGCTCCCAGTGCCTAATTTGAAACCTGGACTGAAGTGCTATGCAGGAGGACTGAAGTGCTATGCAGGAGGACTGGGGTAAAGTTGAGGCCCTGTGTTTCTTTGGAGCCAATCTCTGCCTGCCTCTTCCTGTCTTGGAGCAAGGCTGTTGCATGGGGCAGTGCTTTTGGCTCTGTGGTGCCCTCCCCAGCCTCCTGGGAAAGCTTATCCTAGGCAGAGATGCCCTGGCCGTCCTGGCAGCTTTGGGCCTGGCTCCCGCCTCCCTTCTACCTCCAGCCTGTCCCATGACTTTCCTAAGCTTGGGTCAGCCAGGCATGCTGTGCCACCCTCTGTTGGCCTCTACTTCCCTAGCCAGAGCTCTGCTTCCTCCAGGAAGCCCTCCCAGCCCTTCTTCCACACGCTGACCACAGCGCCAAACTCCGAAGTTCTCCTAATCTCTGGGGCCTGCCTAGCTTGGTCAGGGGTGTGTGGATGCCTCCCATGGCACCCAGACTGCCCTCTTCCTAGCAGAGCCTAGGATAGGACACATGGGCTGGTGGAAGAACGAAGAATGCTCTTGCCCCCAAGTGAAGGAGGATTTAGAATTCTCTGAAGCTACTAGGACCTGGGGTGTGTGCTGCCTTAGTTTCTCCAAGGTAACAGAGAGCCTAGCAACATTCACTTTCCTGCTGGCACTTAGCCTGACACACTGGCCAAGCGCCTCTGGTCACTCTCACCCGTAGAGCTCCTTGGATAAGTGTCCCCACTCTGTGGTGCTTGTCCTTGCCCTCAGCTGGGGTGTTTGGCACTGTGACTGCTGGCCCCACCCGAGGAGCCCGTGCCAGAGCCAGCCTGCTGGTAACGGCGTGTGCTTGTGCCCTAGATGGGGCGGCGCCGGAGCAGGGCGGGTTCCAGCTGCCCAGGCCCTGTCTTCGGGCAGTTGGGCCCCAGCCATGGAGGACTAGAACTGAGGCTGCCTCGGTGACAGGGGTACGAGGCTGAGGTGCTGGCTCCTTGGCCCCGCAGTCTCGTGCCCAGGACCTGCACAGTTGGGGTCCAGGCCAGGCTTGGACCAGGGACTCTGCTAGGAGCTGTTTAGCTCCTGCCTCTGGCTGAGGCACCGGGCTCCTCCAAGTCCAGCAGCCAGGCTCCCTGTGGGGTGGGTGGAAGCAGAGAGTCCCAGTAATTACACAATTCAGGAGCTGCAAAGTTGTCTCTGCCACCTTCCAGAGCAGAAGCTAGGAGTGGCCCCCAGGGCAGGGGGCAGGGGGCAGGGCTGAGCCACACCCAGGCCACTCTGGGAGGTGGGGCTGCAAAGTGAGGCTGGGGAGCCTTTATCCCCAGGATTAGGCCTTCCTACCACACCATGTTCACAAAGGCTTGTGGCTTCAGTGGCAGTGAGCAGCTGGCCACAGCTGACATCCCCTGGGGTTGTGCTATTTCTAAATATTAGTTCATGCTGTTAACCCTTGCAGGCCTGTCAGCAGAGATGAACCTGGGAGGGCCCAGGCAGGCACCCGTCTGGGTGGAACTTGTGTGCAGGAGCAGATGACTTGGGCCTGGGGTGCGGCATCACAAAGACGGCTGAGAAGCTGCAGGGGATGGGACTGGTGCTTGCAGTGGGTGTGGGAGACTGGGCCTGAGCTGGCGACGGGTAGGGCAGTGGAAAGAATGTGGACTCAGGAGCAGATGTGGTTCTGCCAAGCCACTTTTTGTGTGGCCCCAGGCAGTGCATTACCTACCTATCTGCACCTTGCTCCTAGCCACGGAGTGCAGAGCTGCCACGGTGTGGAGGGGGAGAGGGTGTTAGAAACTGAAGGGCAGGGCCAGGTGGTTAGAAAGATGATGGTTGTTCTGGAAGCAAAAGCAAGGCTGATAGCCAAGAGACACCTGGTGCGAGTGGACAGGGCACTCGGCACTCCACACAGTGGTCTGCGCTACACAGGAGGCTAAGGCAAGAGAAAGGTAAATCCAAGTCCAACCTGGCCAACTTAAGCCCTGTATGTTATGGTTTATGTCTTGATGTCCCCCCAAAGCCTCGTGAGCTCATTGTTGGGGCTTTCGGGAGGAGTGTTGATTATGGGTTTATAGCTGACTTGCTGCAGGAGGTGGGACCTGGTGAGAAGACGTGGATCGCCGGGGGCGTGGTCCGTAAGGTTCTTCTCGCTCCCTGGCTCTCCCTCATCTCTCTGTGTCCTGTCCACCATGCCGAGAGCAGCTCTCCTCCACCAGGCCCCTGTGCCATGTTGTTTTGGAGCTGGCTGACTATGCTAACAAGGCTTTCGTTTTTCTTGTGCATGCTAGGCAAGCACTCTACCCCTGAGCTACATCCCCAGCCCTGAGCTAATTATGGACTAAAGCATCAGCCAAAATAATCTTCCCCTTCCCTTAAACTGCGGATGTTTGGCATTGTGTTCTAGCGTTGAGGAGAGTGATGAAGACATTGTTTCAAAGTAAAACAAATTGAAAAAGGGATGGGCTGTACCTCAGGGGCAGGAAGCCCGGCGTCCAGTCCCTATAGCCCCGGACTTCAGCCGTCCTGGCCCCATCACTAGCTGCCCTTGTGCAATGAAAACCAGTGCAGCCAGGCTCCAGGACACCCTCAGCGACCCCACTTGCTGCCATTCCTGCCCTCATGTGTGAGTAGGGCTGGGCTTTGTGGCCCAGAGGGACTGTGTGGCTTCCAGGTCATAAAGGAAGCCAGCCTTCTTCTCTGTTCCCTTCATATGGCTTATTTGGGAGCAGCAAACAGCTTGGGGGGGACACATGTGGGTTGAGCTGAGGCCTCTGGCCAGCAGCCTTCAGTGGCATTGAGCCCTCCACACTTCCTGACATCTGCTAGAGACCCAGAACCCCAGCAAAACCCCTTCTACCTGCCCCCAGGCACTGTGTGGCACGAGGAGAGAAGTGTTGTTTAAAGCTGTTAGTGTTGGGGACAGTTTGTTATGCAGCAAATGATGACTGCTACAAACCTGCATGCTGGTCAGTGGCAGTCCAGTGAGCCTGATGTGGCGTGTGCCTGGGACTCAGGAGGTGGGGCTCTGGTGCTGGTTTGGGGGTGTTGTTTTCTGGTTGGTCAGTTGCTCAGCTCACCCTGTCCCCCATGAGTATTTCCTAAGCATAGACCTGGAACTAGGCACCGTGCTAACGGTCAGAACACAGGTGAATCACACACAGGAACCACACTTCAGTGACTTAGGGACTGGTTGGATATGGGGAGCATGGAAGAGGGAGGGTCCAGGAGAAGCACAGGTCTGGCTTGGGCACTGGACAGGGTGCGGTGCCTCACAAAATAGTCTTGGGGTCTGTTGATTTGAGGTGCTCAGGGAAATGTGGGTGACCCTAGGCAGGCAATGCACACAGAAGCTTAATGCTCCTAAGAAAGCCTAGTCTAGAGAAATGTATGTTCAGGAATTGTTGGGGTACCAGTGATGAAACGGAAGTTGCCAGAGGAGGCAGACAGCCCGGAGAGAGGACCACTGTACAAAGTGAGACGAAGACCGTGGCCTAGCCCAGAGATGCCAACGTATTTTTCTTTTAACTTAAGAAAAAATAATCTTTGGTGGTACTGGGGGTGGAACTCAGAAAGCCTTATGCTACATGGAGAGTACTTTTCATTTTTTTAATTTTGAGACAAGGTCTTATCAAGTTAGGCTCAAATATGCAATCCTCCTGCGTTAGCCTACCGAGCAGCAGCCAGGATTACAGATGTGTATATGTGTATTACAGATGTGTGCCACTATGCCCTATGCTGGGCTCTTTTTAACTTCTTATTGTCACAATTTCATACTTATGTAGAAGTGGCCAAGCTATTACAAGTATTTCCAACACACTTTTCACCTGGATTTATTTATTTATTCATTCATTTCTCCTCTCTCTCTCTCTCTCTCTCTCTCTCTCTCTCTCTCTCTCTCCTTCTTTTTTGATTTCATGAATGTTAGTATTTTACCCCATTCTAAAAATGCTTCACTATGTATACACATTTTCTTTTCTGAATCATTTGAGAGTGAGTTGAAGAAATAATCTCCCTTTCCCCGGGCAGTCCTAGGAACAAGGACGAGTCTTTCATAGCACGAGTACAGTTATCACCATCAGGAAGTCAGCATGGGAGCAGACTTTGAAGTGAGCCACAGGCATTTATTCCTGGTTTTGCCAAATTTCCCAGCAACGTCCTTTGTAGCAAGAGAAAGTGCAACTTCCGGGGCCCCCTTGGTTGTCATCTGTTGAGCGTCTGTCAGTGAGACACAGGACTTCAGCTGTCTGTCTTCCATGCTGCTGCTGCTCTGTTCTGTAAGACAGGGCGGTTCTTCTATAGGGTGACCTTTTTTTTTTTTTTTTTTTTTTTTTCAGAACTGGGGATTGAACTCAGGCCCTTGCGCTTGCCAGGGAAGCACTTATTTTACTGAGCCATCTCCCCAGCCCCTGTAGGGTGACTTTTGATCTGCATTTTTCTGGCTTCCTTGGGATTGGTCAGATTCTGTGTCCTTCATGAGTATACCCCAGAAGGGACATCTATTGTGCCCTTACTGGGATGTCTCTGGGGTCCCTTGATGGGGAGGGGCCCACACTTTTCCCTGTGGGTGAAGGTGGATTCTCTCTGTTTTTCTTTCTTTTTTTTTTTTTTGGTTTTGTTTTGTTTTTTTTTGTGTTTGTTTGTCTGTTAGAGGCAGGGTCTAACAAAATGTAGCCCAGGCTGGCTTCGAACTCATGTCAACCCTCAAGTCTCAGCCTCTTAGCCCTGGGATTATGGGCACATGCCGCTGTGCCTGGCTGGTCTCCCTCTGTGGTGATTCATCCTTACTAGTGTTGAACAGTTGCCAAGAAGCAGAGGAGCCAGCAGGGAGTCTGTGAAAGGGCATCAGGGCCAGGGCAGGGACTCCAGTAGGACACTACAGAGCAGGGATCAGTGCTGGGTGAGGACACAATGCTCGGTCATTTTGGCCCAGTGTGGTCAGGCAGCCAATCCAGAAAAGGAGGAAGTGTACATAGGGAGTGGCTGCCACACACAGGTCAGGGAGGGCTCTGGTCACACTGAGGCTGTGAGGGGCTGTGGGGAGCCACGGACCAAAGCCTCGGTGGTGAGTCTGTATGCAGGCAGCGGGTGCAGAGACCATGGAAAAGGTGTCACCTGGGGAAGTTTGTCCAGGTGGAGAAGTGTGGCCAGGAAAGTTTTTTTCTTTTTTCTTTTTCTTTTTTGACACCAAGGCCTCTGGACTGAGCTAATCCTTATCTCTTCTAAGTTTTTATTTATTTATTTATTTATTTATTTATTTATTTATTTTTTTTTTTTTGTAGCTGGGGATTGAACTCAGGCTCTTGTGCTTGCCAGGCAAGTCCTTATTTTACTGAGACGTCTCCCTGTCCCCCTTTTCAGTTTTTGAGACAAACTCTTGACAAGTCATTAACCAGGTAACCAGGTTAGGCTGGGAGAGAATTTGTGATCCTCCTGTCTCAGCTTCCCAGAGTGCTCGGGTTACAGGTGTGCACCACCACACCCAGTTAGAGAAGATTTTAGTAGGCTGTGTGTAGGGAGGTACTTTGGGTGTCACAAGGTGACAGGAAGGAGAAGATAGCAGGAGGCATCCGGGACAGGAGACTGGTGGAACTGCAGTGGGAACTGGAGGCAGGGACAGTGATGTGTAGGTCTGGCACGCTGAAGAGTCTCATCTGATTGCCTCAGTTTCTCTGCTAGGAGCGAAGAGCAGGGGTTGGAGGAGGGCAGAGAAGGAGTAGTGTTGGAGACAACCTCCAGGGATGGGGTGGGTGTGCTGGTCAGAGGAGAGGGTGGGGGTCAGCATGGGGCTGGGAAGTGGCAGGCCAGGATGAGGAGGAGGGTGGGTGCCATGGATCTCCATGATGGTGGGCTCAGGTGTGTGCCAGCGAGGCGTGGGGCAGGATGGTCAAGAGGAGACAGGAGGGCAGGAGTGGTGGGGGGGGGCAGGGACCTCAGGGCTAAAAGGCAATGGCTGCAAGGAAACCTGGAGACGGGGTCAGGGGCGGATGGGAGGTAGTGCCTGTCATTCCTCCTGTCTCAGAGTCTGTGGTTTGAGGGACAGAGCCACTGCTTTGGAAAGGTGGGGGCAGCCTCTGGAGCAAACAGTCCTGTGTTGGAGATAAAGAAAAGGAGCACTGGGGGGAGGGAGCTGCAGGGACATGTGTGTGGGGGAGCTGGGGAGGTAGGGAGATGCCCTGGGTCTGAGGGCCATGAGCTCCAAGTCCTGGCCCCGTCAGTCAGTGCACACAGGACAGGGGGCGAAGGCTCTGCCACCCCTGGGCAGCCCTGCTGCAGAGGTCCTCAGCCTGCGTGGGTTCGGAGTGGGGTTGGCTCCTCCAGGCAGGGCTGTGGACCCCAGAAGACCCCAACTTTGTATCCTGTTCCACTCAGCTGCTGATGCACCAGGCCACTGTGGAGGAGTCCTGACCCTCGTGGGCTTTGGCTGGCCTCAGTTTCCTATCTGTGCTAATGACCCCTCAATGCCAGCATGCTCTGGCTCCTAGAGCAGAGATCAAATCCAAGTCTGAGTCACATACATGGCTGTGACAGGCCTAGACCAGACTTTCTGGGCTCTCAGGTGCGAAAGAGGTCCCCCATTTCCTTACCCCTGAGTCCTCAGGCATGTAGGGGCTATACGGGAAACAGCTGGGGAGTAGGGTTACCCCTCCATCCTCTTTATTTGCGAAGTATTCTTCAATCTAGAGAGGGATTGTAAAGATAAGATAGTATTCCCAGGGAAAAGACTGTCAAGACAGTCACACTATAGTGAGAAATAGTTGGCTTAATTGTTTGCAAGGAAAAATAAGTTTTTACTTTTTGATCCCAGTCCTGGGGATTTGAACACAGGGCTTCAGATGCCAGGCAAGTGGTGTCCCTTTGAGCTACATCCTTAGCCTGAAAACCAGGCTTTTACAGAAAGGAGGGCTTGTCCAAATCTGGGGAGACAGGTGGCAGGGGCAAGGGTAGGAACCCACCTCCCCACCCCCTTTTCTATTCTGGTCCCTTCCCCCACCCCTCAACGGTCCAGGGGTGTCCTGACCATTTAGCCTGTTTGGGGAATCAGGGTTCCACACTGGGCTTGAAGCATAGAATTCCACGCCACGGCCTGGTGTCACGGCAACTAGGCAAATAAACACTCAGCCTTCTGTGTCCAAGTTCTGCCGTGACGTCACCAGCTCCTGCCGCTGAGAAGGAGTTGGAGGAGGACATCTTCCTACCCAGCCCCCACGTGTCCCTGGCAGGGGCACCCAGCTTCAGCCATGAGGCTGCCCAAGGGGGCTGGCAACAATGTGTTCTATGCCCAGCACCCAGAAAAGGAGGAGCTGCTGCCCTCGAGGCAGGAGGTGAAGCAGACTCCAGTCATCATGGCCCTGATCAGAGGTGAGAGCTACTTTGTCTGTTCTGGGCTTGGCCTGCTGGGGTGGGGGGGGGTCCCACTATGAACCCCAAACAATGCTCTCAAAAACTTAGGGAAGGGGGCTGGTGAGATGGCTCAGTGGTCTAAAGCACCTACTTAGAACAAGCTTAGCAAAGCACAGGGACCGCGGTTCAATCCCCCAGCACTACACGCCAGCCAGCCCCGCCCCCTGGTGGGCTGAGCTGGCCACACACACACACACACACACACACACATAAATTAAAAAAAAAAAAACAAAAAACAACTTAGGGAAGACCTTGCTCTTCCTAAACCTGAGACCAGCAGTATTATCTACTGGGCGTTTTGGTTTTCTTTTCTTTCTTTTTTTTTTTTCTGAGACAAAGTCTTGCTGTGTAGTCCAGGCTGGCCTCAAACTCAATGATCCTTTTGCCCTCAGCCTCCTGAGTGCTAGGATGGCAAGTGTGTGCCGCCATACACAGTGAGACTGATATTTCTAAGCCTTAATATTTTCCTGTATAACATGGGAATATTAATAATATTCCATCTGGGGCTGGTGAGATGGCTCGGTCTAAAGCACTTACTTAGAACAAGCTTAGCAAAGCATCAGGGACTGCGGTTCAGTCCCCCAGCACCACATGCCAGCCAGCCCGCCCCCTGGTGGGCTGAGCTGGCCACACACACACACACACACATAAAAAAAAAAAAAATTCCACCTGACAGGGTGGTCAGGGGACCTCACAGAACAGTCCATGTTGAAGTCTCAGTGAGGGACGGAGCCGCCTGCCTGGGAGGTTGCTGCTCCCCTAGGCCACTGCTTTCCAACAGGCAGCAGTTTGAAGGATTCAGGTTTGGAGCACTCAGCAGCAAGGGCAGGAAGAGCCAACACTCGGTGTTCTCAGGGTGCCCTTAGTCTGCGTTTCCTGCCACTGACCAGGGCATTGTTGCCCTCCAGGTCCAGGTCCTGCCAGGTACCTGCGGCCATCGTGCACTGGCTATGTGGCCCACGACAGCTCCCTGGTCCGGGGGCCGGCATTCACCCTGCATGAGAGGCACTCTGAGAAACGTGAGTGAATTACCCAGCCTTCCATGAGCTGGGGTGACTGTTGGGACTGGGGGACAGGAGAGGTTTGGAGTCATCTTCTGTGGCCACAGATATGGGATCCAGCGCCTGCTGTGAGTGGGACAGAAGGAGGCTTCCCCAGTGCTTAGCTCCCAAGGCAGATGTCCCCAGGAGGCCAGGAAGGGACGCTGGCACCTGGCTGGCAGAGTGAGGCCCTTCAGCTCTGGGAGGGGACGTGGTGGGGGTGGCAGTCCCAGGGCACAGGAGCAGAGGCCACACATACCTGAGCCTGCAGGAGGAGAGCCTGGGCTTAAAGTCAGGGTGCCTGGTGGGCCCCTCCTTGGGAGGGACAGGGAACTCCCTGTCCTGGCCTGGGCCTTTTTCAGTACTAACAATAGCCACATGGCTGTCATAACCGTCGGCACTGGTCTCTGACCATCTCTGCCCTGCTGGCTGATCACACTGCTCACTGAAGCTGTTATTCTACCCGCTTCCCTGAGCCAGTTCTTCAGAGCAGTGGTCCTGTGCTAAAAGTTCTATTTCACAGATGAGCAAGTTAAGAGCCCAGCACCCTCCGGGTAGGTGCAGGAGTCTGAAGAGAGCTCTTGCTTTTGTCGGGAGGGGACAGTCTTGTTCTGAGGAGGCCAAGCTCCTGATGGTCCCTCTGTGACCACCCTGCAGGGATCACAGATGTATGCAGCCCAGGGCCGTGCTACTACTTGAATCCCAAAATAACCCGCTTTGGGATGTCCAGTTGCCCTCAGGTGCCCATGGACAGCCGTGTCACCAGCCTGCGTAAGTTGGGCCAGGCAGAGGTGGGGCAGGGAGCTTGGGGCTGGGAGTGCCAAGCAGGGGCAAAGTGGAGGGTGGATCTTTGGGTGATGGCACCTCCCTGCAGTGTCGCATCAAGATGCTGATGTCATACTGTGACCTCACTTTGTCTGTGTCACGGTGTGTCACCTATGACCCATCACAGGCTCACATCCAGGCTGTAGCACTGTCATGCTAAGCATCCTTGCCTAGGCTGTCCTGGGTGGAGGGCACTACAGTGACAGCCCAAGGCTGATGCTACGATGTCACTGGTGGTTTTTATGTCATGACAAGTGTGTCACTATCCTGGTGACCTTGTATTGTTCCCTTCCCTGCTCCTGAGGTGTCCCCAGGACCATGAGCTGGGGTTCAGGGACAGAGTCTCTTTCCCACCCTTGTCCCTGCAGGCCTGAGCCCCACACCAGCCCCGGGCCACTATAACCTGGAGAAGATCCACCCCCCTGATGAGCACAGGGCTCCCCAGTACACCTTTGGCTACCGGTGCCCAGTCCGAGTGATGGATCCCAACCCAGCCCCCAACTGTTATCAGCTGCCCCTCTTGCTGGGGCCCAACACACCAGTGCACCGGGCTGCTCCCTGCTTCAGTCTGGCCCCTGCAGTTAAGAACTGGTTCTACCAGGAGAACGTGGCCGGAGGTCCTGGGCCGGCCGCACATGCCCGGCCGGAGCCATCTGTGTACCAGAACCGAAGCCCGGCATACAGCATGGCACGGCGTCATGCCTACCCACTGGACCACACCCTGAGGCCTGGGCCAGGCTCCCACGACGTGCAGCAGGTCACTCTGCACAAACCCCGCACGCCCGCCTTCACCATGGGCACCAGGCACTCGGCTCACCTGTGCCCCCTGGTGGTGGACATCCGAGACTGAGCCCACGGCTCACCCTCCCGCCCCACAGATGTTATTTTTCTATTCCAGCAGAGCTGGTGCCTGCGTTAGATAAATATTTTGTGTGTTCATTCCTGCCTTCTGCAGACATCTCACTGCTTCCTGGGGACACAGCTTGGGGGAGGGCTGCGGTTTTGGGTGGCTGCATGCTGGTCCGTTATGGGTTCCTGTCCGGCTCACGGGGGCCACGGCCTGGGTAGCACGTGGAGAGCCGAGGTCCTCCTGACTCAGCCCCAACAGGCTATATGTCCTTTGTCGCTCCTGCTGCTCTCTGGGCCTCTGGGCAGCAAGGGTTGGTGGGAAAAGGCCAGGTTTCCCCAATTCTAGGACTGTGGGACTCTGCTCCCTGCCAGTGGCCTGCGCCCCAGGGAGGAGCAGGCAGCGGGGAGCAGGTAGTCAGGAGAGCATTGCTCCGTTCAGGGGGCCAAGGACAAGCAGAGACTGCAAAGGAAAAGGCAAAGGCAAAGGCAAAGGGAATAGCAGTGAAAGCCAGCAGAGGGATCCAGAGGCTGAGGGACAGTGAACAGGGTAGGGAGTCCAAGGGGCCAAGGCCTGGGGTGCAGAAGGTGGCGCCCATCTCAGCATAGAGCAAGGGTGGCTTGGAGGGGGCATTCCAAGAGCCTCACCAGGTGAATGAGGAGCCGGTAGAGGTGTTCTGGTCAGGAGAAGCCTGAACACGGTGGTGATGGGGGGTGCATTCCCCATGGGCTGTGTGCAGGCTTGCAGGCAGCTAGGAGGGTCTGATGGCCACAGGCTACCTTAGCAGGTCATTTGTTAGTCCCCAACTGTGGAAGCTCAGCTGGCAGAAGAGCTACCACCCAGAAGGGGACAGTACCACCCATCTTCAAGTCTGGGCTGGGCTGGCCGCTTTGGGTGGACAGCACCAGCGCTCCCATCACATGGGGGCCGAGGCTGGAGTTTGTTTTTTGTCCTTGTGTCGTTATGCCTGACATCCTAATTCCTGATTCAGTGTCACCCTGGAACCAGCCCCCTCCAGCTCCTTCTGTTGCATAAAGGGGGATATGGGCCAGGGAGTGAGGAAGGGTAGGGGGGAGACCCCAGTCCCAGTGGCCCAAGAGAATGCTGGGTCCTTCTGCAGCCACTATCCCAGGAGGCTGAAAGAAAGGTCACCTCAGAGCCAGCGTGGGAACAGAGTGGCTCAATCTGGGACAGGTGAGCCATATTCAGGTTCTAATTAAAAATGAAGATTGTGTTGAATAAATAAACCCGAGTTTGGATAGAAAAGTGCAGAATAGCTTTGGATTTTTTTTTTTTTTTGAACATTAAAGAAAGACTTCCTTCATACTGGCTTGTGCTCCTATCATCACCCCCCCCCAGGCCCTTGGTTTGTGTCCATCCTGGGCAACCCCCTACATCCTCAGCAAGGCCACTCAGGCTCTAAAGAGAGCAGGCACTAGGGAACCCATCTGTCTCGCAGCCGATTAGAAAGATGTCATTTTGCTGACAATGCCATTTATCACAGCAGCTGCAAAAATTAGGATGCTTGGGCTGGAAGTGCTGGATGGGGGTGGGGCTGGCAGGTGGTGGTAGCTGAGGCACCTGTGTCACCAGGGCAACCTCAGAACTCCAGCCCACGCCAAGGCCCTTGCTGGGTCCTGGGGAAACTGAGGCTGAGGACCTGGCCATGTGACAAATCAATGGCCTCTAAGTAGTCTAGGCTCCAGGGGTGACCAGGACAAGGATTAATAAATAACCACAGTTAATGTTCACCTGTGACCTGAGTCAGGGGTCATTGTGGATATGGATGCTTATTTTGGGACAAATCCTAATTTTTGACAATTTGGGACAGAGCTTGCTTCCCCACTGCCACCAGCTATGGGTAGGAGTAGACTGTCCCTTGAAGTGGGATTGTGGTCTCCATGGAAGGGAAGGGCGAGGAAGGGTCAGAATGGAGAGAGGGATGATAGGTGGGTTCTAGCTCAGGTCGGCTTTTCAGTGAAGCGGCTTCCCTCTCCCCTGGTCAGGCACACTCCTGACCCTGTCAGGGTCTGGGCCCCTCCTTTGGCCTTGCTGGAAGCCCTTGACTGACCCCAGTAGGACCTGAACCTGTACTTTCAGGTGGTTAGGCTCCAGAGGTGGCACATGATCACACTAACCTGACCACCAGTCATTCAGTCAACAAACACCACTGGTCTCTAGGATTCAGGAGACGGCTTGGTGGGAGGAGAAGTAGGAGCAGCCACTGGAGGGTGGGGGCTCAGCGCCCAGCTGGTCCATGGGTTTCTTTTCTGGGGACACAAGTGGCTTTGGCGGTGAAGCTGTAGTTACAGGGCCCTCTGGGACACTGTGACTGGCCTGATGTTCTGCATTGCTAGAACCCAAACCCAGTCCTGCAAGTTCCCAAGAGCTGGGGGATGGGAGCCCCAGGCCAGGAGCAAGACAGGGGCCCTGTCTGTAGGGAGCCCTGTGGCGCATGGGTGGGGGTGCTGTGGACAAATACACACCCTTCACACATGTGCACAGAGCCCACACACATGCACACGCAGACACACGCATGCACGCACAGTGCTTGTAAGGGAGCTGGGTCCAGAGTTCAGGCCTGGGCTGGAGGAGCCGCTTTGCCCACTTAAGACAAGTCAAGTCTCCTTTGTTGCCCAGCTATGGGCCACCCAGGGCCAACAGGGCCAGGGGCTGCTCCCGCCTCCTGGTCCTCGCTCTGGGTGGATACAGTGGTGGGGTCACCAGGAACCTCCTGGCTCACTGTGGGAGAACCACCACTCTCCATGCCTGGGGCCCCAGCCTCCAACCTCCACCAGGCTCTCCTCTAGTTGGCCTCTTCCTCTTCTTCCCTTCGCTTCCCTCCCACTCTGGTGTCTCTCTGCCCTGTGTATGCAACAGAATAAAGATCGACATTTTCAGTTACTCTGAATACCTTGGCCATCCCTGGAGGTTTAAGCCAGAGCGGGGAGTGCCTGACTCTGTGTGTGTGTGTGTGTGTGTGTGTGTGTGAGCGCGCGCGCGCGGACATGGTCTGCGAGTGTGCATGGGTCTGTGTACAGGCTCACAGCTGGAGGCACCTCTATTTGCTCCTCTCCCACAGAGCTCTCCTTTCTTCCTGGGAGATGGGAAGCAGTGTTTCCCTTCAGGGGAGGAAGGAGACAAAGAGAGGAATAAAAAGCTGTGGCCGCCGGCTGTAAACACACTGCAGCCACTGTGCAGAGGGTGGGGGATCCACAGGAGAGGCGACTCGAGTGGAACCGAGTGGGGGGGGTGTGAACAGGGAGGCAAGGGAAGGGGCTGGGAATGCCGGGGAGGGGAAGGAGGGCGAGCCGCCGGTGTGCAGGGCTTCGGGAGGGACACGCTGATGCAGAGTGAATGTGCCTGCAGTCATGGGTGGTACACCCCCCTGCACCAAGCAGTAGCTTTGTGTCCAGCACTTCCCTGTCCCAGGCATGGGAGGCTCAGAGAGGAGGATGCCTGTCCAGGACACAGCCTGAGATCAAGCGCCTGGGGCTCCACCTCAGGTCAGCTGACTCCGTCTCCCTTCCTGCAGCCTCTGCTGTGGCACAGGGGCTGGGACAGGGCGTGGGGCCTGGGGTATGTCACCCCTGGTTGTGTGACCTTGTGCAGATCCTCCTTTCTCTGGGTTTGGTTCCCAATGTAAAGTGCAGGGCTCTGGGGAGACCACGTATTCTGGTAGAAGACTGGCCCCAACCTGGCGCCTGCTGCCACCGTGTGGTGACAATGGGTACTGCAGAGCTGAATCTGGATGACTTGTGAGCCAGAGGTTAATGTTCTGGTTCTCCTTGACTATCCTGCAGATGGGGGGAGAGGAGGAACCTCATGCACCCAGGAGGAACCTGGGCTGATAAGTATTTATTTATTTATTTTAATTTTTGTTTTTCTGAGGCAGGGTCTCGCTATACAGTCCAGGCTGTCCTTGAACTCACTATGTAGTAGCCCAGGCTAGCCTGGAACTTGGAGCGATCCTCTCGTCTCAGTCTCCAGAATGCCACCATGTCCAGCCTGGATCAGTTTTGAGGGGCCCTGCAGGAGGGCGTGTATTTTATTTATTGAACTCAGGGGTTGGGAATGCAGAGCTTAGGCACTGTCTGCTTCTGCTTCCTTCTCAGTGTGGGGCTGGGGGGCTGGGGACACATGGGCTGGGAGGGTGTGGGGTTGCACTGGGAACAGGACAGGTGATGAGGGCCATCAGGTCTGGGAGTCTTTCCTGGTGCTGCCTTCTGTGGAGGGGAGTTATTCTTGGCAGGAAACGGCAGCATCAATCAGCGGCAATGGGGGGCTGACAGGCAGCCCCTCCCTGCAGCCGGGCTTGAGGCGGACTCATAAATCTCACTCCAGGCTGGGCTGTAAATCCCTGTGATTCACACCCAGCTCTGGGAGGACAGAGACACTGAGGGCTTCAGGACAGGCTGTCCTCTCTCAGGCACCAGGCGGAGGTGGGTGTCAGAGGGCACTCCTTGAGCGGCTGGGGTCCTCCTCTTGCCCTTCGCCAGGAGACAGGGTCCAGAGCTCCCCCGGGAGACCCAGTACATCCAGCTCTACCTCTATGAGAGCCAGGCCACTTCTGCCTTCAGCTGGGCCATGCAGTGTCCAGTAAGTCACCCCAGGGCCACACAGGAGGATACTGCATCTTCTGCCATTTAGAGGTCCTTTCTCTACCTTTCCACAGCAGCTGCTTCAGCCAATTCTCCTATTATGAGGATGTCAAGATGGGAACAGCATCCGCCAATGTGTTTCTAATTCCAGGGGGGCTGGGGCCCTCAGCCTCTTCTCCCACAGGCAGGAAGAGCCTTAGGAGCCCTGGGACACGTGGCTGCCATCACCTGCCAATCTGTTAGGAAGTTTGTCACACTCACATGCTCACTGAACTCTTATTTAACATTTCCCTTCAAACCAGCTTACTCTTAAACTTAAGTGTATATATGTATAGTCATGCCTTGGGTTTCTTTCTTTCTTTCTTTCTTTCTTTCTTTCTTTCTTTCTTTCTTTCTTTCTTTTTCTTTCTTTCTCTCTTTCTTTCTTTTTTGTGGAGTGGGAGATTGAACTCAGGCCCCTGCACTTGCCAGAGAAACGCTTATTCCACTGAGCTATCTCCCCAGCCCCCTAGTCATGCCTTAAGCAACACTTGTGAAATCAGGGTCTGACATTTGGTGCACACAGGCACACACACATGTGCCAATGTGTGCAGTCAGCTCTGCATTTTGGTGGGCTCTGCACCCAGAAATCCAATGAACAATGGATGGAAAGTATTTATCAACATGCACCTGGGCTGAACATGTATAGGCCGTCTTACTCCTCCTTACTCCCTGGAAGGTACACCGTCATGACTCTGCACACAGCATTTACATCACATTGGGCATTGTAAACAAGTGGAAGAAGGGCTCCTGCTGGACAATACAATGCAAGGACCACTTACATGGCATTTGCCCTGTATCGGGGCATAGGGTTTAATGTTGGATGATACAATGTAACATTTACACACACTATTTACATTGTATCTGGTGTTATAAATAATCTTCAGAGGGTTTGAAGTGCTTGGGAAATGTGCACAGGTTAGATGCAAATTTAAACCTTGTTTTTTGGTGCCAGGGATTGAACTCAGGACTTTGTGCTTGCCAGGAAGGTGCTCAGGCTGCTGAGCTGTCTTCCCAGGCTCTATTAAGGCCATTTTACACAAGGAGGTGGAGCATCCAGGAGCTTCTGGGAGGAATCCCCAATGATATTGAGGGACAACTGTGCATGAAGTAGATTCATGAAAATAAACACCTAGTGAGAATAGCACACATCCAGCCGTGTGGCACATGCCTGCAATTTCAGCTCCTCAGGAGGCCGAGGCAGGAGAGGCACAAATTCAAGCCCACACTGGACAACTTAGCATATCCCAAAGTAAAACGTATAAAACAGGGCCGGGGTGTAGATCAGTGGTAAAGTGTTTGCCTAGCATGTGTGAGGTACCCACTTACTAGCCAAAAACTGTCACGTGTCACCAACGACGTAACACGCTTGCCTATGAGGAGAGTGGCTCTTTTTTGTCATTATTTTATAGACAGGGAAATCAAATCAGAAAAGGACAGGGACTCACCTAATGTCAAGCAGCACTGGAATTAGTGGCTGGCCATTGCTTGCCAGGGTGGTGCTGGCTTTACAGCCACAAATCCCTGGCTTGGGGAGGCACCTTTGGGGGCAGGGCCTCCTCTCCTCAGGCCTGTTGGCAGCCCCGAGTGCCAGGGGAGGCTGAGTTCCAG